CGAGCCGGTGCGGTGGGAGGGGAAGAGCGCCGACGAGGTTGCCTTCTCTGCTCGAGGGGAGCGCGCGTCAGAGCATGGTCGTGGAATGAGGAATGGTGTGAATGGATCAGGTCGCTTCTCTGCTCGAGGGAGGCGCCGTCTGCTCGCGGCTGCATGAGCACGCGCGACGGCTGGTGGAGGTGCCGATTCGGCGCATCTCGGCGCATCTCGGCGCGTCTCGGCGCATCTCGGCGCATCTCGGCGCATCTCGGCGCGTCTCGGCGCATCTCGGCGCATCTCGGTGCATCCCGCTGGCAGGTTCAGGCGGCCATGTACGCCGAGGCGATGGCGGACGACGGTGCGCCCCCCGCGCCCGGCCAGCCGCGCGTGACGCTCTTCCGCGTCAACCCGCACATGGAGCGGCTCGAGGCGGCGATGGAGGCGCACCTGCAGAGCTTGCCGCGCGCCAAGTATGACGGCTCGCAAGGCGCCGCCGCCGCCCCGCCGACGACGACGGCGGGGGCGCCGTCCAAGAAGAAGGCCAAGGCGGGCAGGCCGGTCGCCGCGGCGAGCGGCGGGTTTGGCGGCGGCGGCGGCACGGCCAAGGGGAAGGCCAAGACCAAGGGCAAGAAGAAGAGATGAGCCAGACCGGCTCCGGGCGATCGGGGGACGGTACGTGTACAAAAGTTGAGAGAGAATCTCTCTCAAAAGTTAGGAACGAAAATATTAGCAATAAATAAATAAAAACGGACACCTCTCTACTGTGAGATGAGTAAAAAGAAACAGGTCCCCGCCCTTGCGATGTTTGTGCAGGGTTCTTTGTGGTCGGCGACTAGCCGCAAGCCGGGGTCGTCCTCTCCCGATGGGGGACTAGCACTAGCCGTATTCCACATGGTCCCTCGGGTCCCCGCTGCTCCTAATCTCTTTATCAGCAGAGATACTTACCCCTTGGAGCACTTGGAGTGCAGTCTACATTAACCTCACATCCACCCCCCTTTTTTTACCTCTTTCGAAAGTTCGTTTTTCTTCGATTCACCCCCGGACTTCCATCATCCTGTCGGAAGAGGCGTGCGGTGGAGCACGTCCGGTATAAAAGCAAGATATTGTCAGGAGACGGAACACGGAGGAGCCGTATAGGTCACTAGAGACCCACACCATCGCTACATCACCACAGCCACCAAGTCGGATACAAGTCGATGACAATGTGCGCGGCAGGAGAAACCCAACAGCATGACAATGTGCGCGGCAGGACAAACCAAACATGAGACACGGTTACACAAGGACGGTCAGGCTACGGTCAGGAAGTAGGTTTGAGTTCACACTCTCCAACACTCCCCCATTGTCTCCGCAGTCTTCATGAATGTGAGGATGCGGCAGACAACAACAGCAGAGTGTGAATGTGTCTGAGCGTAGGTAGCGTAGGTATGCCGGTTACCCGCCGGCGTCTCGCGGGGCTGGCTAAGCGTTTAACCTTGCGTCCTCGCGAAGGATGGTCTTGCTTGTTGGCAAGACTTGCGCGCTAAGATGATCCAGTGAAGGGGTCAAAGCGCGGCCGAGTGGGCGGAGAGAGAGAAAGGGGAGATAATGAACAGGAGCTCGTTGTGGAGCTCGGTCATGGCGCGCCGCGAGCTGCAATCCGGGCTGAGCGTCGCGGGGCGGCGGCTTGAGCGGGCGCGGCAGGCGCGGCGGGCGCGGGAGCGGCAGCGGGGGCGCCCCCTTGCGGCGCGGCGATTGGGCCGTTGGGAGGCCTCGCCGCGTTGACGCGGATGAGCGCATCAGGGACGTGAGGACGATCTTCAATGCCTGCGCCACGGGCCGCCGACGTCGGAGATGGCAGGCTCAGTCTCAGACGTCCAGACGGCAGAGACGCTCGTAGAGGCGCATTGGACTTCTTGTGGTGCGCTCTCGGCTCTGCACGCGCCCGCCCGACGGGGGCCTGGTCTACCCCTCATCTACCCCGTCATGGCATAGGATTCCTATGACGCCTCAGGTCTTCCAGTTCGACGAGGAGCTCGCGCCGGCCGGCTCGATATACTGGGGAAGTCGCGTACTGGTTGTTGGCGACGACGACCTCGCCAGCAAGCTCTCCGCTGTTCTCCGAGTCGCTCGCGGCAGCGTCGTCGTTGCGTCTGACGGCGCAGCGGGGCTTCGCCTTTTGACCTCGACGCACGAGTTCATCTCTCTCGTGTTGGTGGATCTGCTGAGGATGGATGCAACGCAGGTTCGCCAGTTCCGAACCTGGGAGGCGCATGAGGGCGCAGCCCGTGCACGTGTGGTCGCTGTCTCGCACAACGCCGCCAACGTCCATCGTGAGCAGGTGCTCGAGGCTGGTTTCGACGACGTGCTACTTGTTCCGACGCCAGTGCTCGCGTCGCACGCCCGGCCACTGTCCGGCTCGGAGGAGTAGAGCCGTAGCGGCTCCATGGCTTGCGGCGTTGACCGTTTGGTGCGCGGGGCCTCTCGGGCCTCTCGCAACCTCTAACGGTCTTGTGACTCCCTGTGCCGTGCCGCATATTCTCGAGTCGTGTGACCTGCCTTGTAAATTTTGTATGTGCATACAATACGTTACGGAGAGGCCCAGGATGTGGGCGCCTGCACATCACGCTGCTCTGCACAGCCGGCACGATCCGCGGGCCGCTGAGCCCTGGCTGTCAGGCTGTCAGGTGCTGTCAGGTGATCTGTCGGGCTGTCGGGCAGCTGTCAGGCACTGTCAGGTGCCTCTGTCAGACCAGCTGTCGGGTGCTGTCAGTGCTGTCGGGTGCTGTCGGGTGCGTGTCTGACATCAGAGGGGATCTGTAGCTGTCGGGTGCTGTCGGAGCTGTCGGGTGTTGCTGTCAGACGCTGTCGGAGCTGTCAGAGCTGTCAGGCTGCTGCTGCTGTCAGACGTTGGGCTGTTGCTGTCAGGTGCTGTCAGGTGGTGCTGTCGGGGTGCTGTCAGGCTCTGACACACACCAGCCACACTTGTGACATTATCAAGAGGAGACCAGCAGGACTCTGCTGCACATACTCTAGTCTCTACTCTGCCTCCGGTCCCACATATATCTTCTTCATGGTGGACGTCACCACATCTTCTTGTCTGCCGCACTGAGAGAATAGCAGAGAGGCAGGGGGGAGTGCTTCTTCAGGTACACCTTGCTGATGATCTGGTAGTTGCTGGTCCAGCGGAAGGCCTCCCCATCGTTGTCGCTCGTCAGCTTGCAGTACTTGCACGCTCTGTTCTGGTAGCGCGGGCCGTCTGGGGGGGTCCCGTCACCCTTCACCTCACGGTACCACCGGAGGATAAAGAGGCCCTTGGGGTCGTTGATGAAGACCCCGTTGCTGCGCTGACTCATCGAGAGCTGGCGCAGGTACTCTGCGCTCGAGCTGCCAGTGGCGCGGCGCGCGTCTGCCGACGGCCACCTGCTCGATGTTGCCAATGGCAAAGACCTTGGAGCTGTCCTCCATGGTGAAGAGCACCGCAACTGCGGAGAGAAAGAGAAGAGGGAGAGATGAGAATGCACGTCTTATGTGTGTGTGTGACAGGCGGCAAGGGCGTGGTCACCGTCATCATCATCCATGTAGAAGTCGAGCTCCTCATCCACATCCTCGCCTCGCTGCTGATGGGACTTGATGAGCCGCTTGACGTGGAAGCGGAGCTTGCGATCCTTTGACTCCTCCTGGATGGAGACGTTGAAATCTGCCAGCAGCTTACGGATCTCCTCAAAAAACTCTGCGCTGCTGCCCTCCTCGCCGCCGGTTGGAGGCGCCACGTTGGCCCCTGTCCGCATCAGCTGGTTCAGCACGGCCTCGGCATCTGCAGCATCCTGTGCGCCCATGGCGGTCAGCTCGGCCGGCTCAGCATCGGGTGTGCCGTTTGGATCATCCTCCTTCTGCTTCTCTCCCGGCTCCTCCAGCAACGCGCCACCCTGGACATAGGTGTCAGCCAGAGGAAAGTGCAAGCACGGCTGCTTGAAGAAGCCGGTCTGTGCACAGAGGTTGGCGCGGACTCCACAGAATCGAAGGCGCGGACCACATACACATGTCTTTGCATGTAATAGTTTTGCTATACCCTCCTGGGACACAAGAAAGAGGCTGCACGGCCTGAGTACGGTCTGTGCTGCTGTCGGGCTGGTCGGGCTGTCGGGCTGTCAGCGCTGCTGTCAGGCCGCTGTGTGCTGTCGGGCTGTCGGGCAGCTGTCAGGCTGTCACGTTAGGGCCTGACAGCGACGGGACGCCTCTGATGTCAGGCTCTGCTGTCAGGCTGTCAGAGACGTGCTGTCAGACTGTCGGAGAAAGTGCTGTCAGCGCTGTCAGGCTGTCGGGCACTGTCAGGCGCTGTCCGGGGTTTGCTGTCAGGCTGTCAGACCAGCCCTACACCGCCGCCGCCGCCCTCCCGACACCCGAGGGCAGATAATAGCCCAAGTCGAAGAGTGCGCCCCGCGACGCACCAGAGCACGGCTGGGCGTGTGAGCAGCCGTGTTTGACTGTGAGGCGAATATTTGTCATCGGGAGCGCGCCTCCGACTCTGCACCGGGCCGCCGCCGCCCTCCCGAGCGCCGAGGACAGGAGATAATAACGGCCGCCTCGTCGTCGAGCTCGGCGGAGACGATGGTCGCCTCGCGTTTGAACCCCTCGAGCTGCTGGAGCGGCGTCGCACTCGTCGAGCGTAACAGCAGTCCGCCCTCGGATGACTTGTTGAGCGCGCCGTAAGCCGTCCCCGTATGCCGTAAGGCACGCGGCAGCCGTCAAGGGAGCGCGATCTCGGTCAGCTGGTGCCGCCGCGTGGGCACGGTGCGAGGAAGGACATGCTGTGGCAACGACGAGAGCTGTGCCTCGAAGACGCGCGCGAAGGGGAGAGAGAAACGACCAAACCACCCCAACCCACCCACCACCCACCCACCACCCACCCACCCACCCACCCACCCACCATCCGGGGCCTACGAAGCGTTTACCCACCCACCCACTTTTCAAGCACGGCGGGGTAGAGGCAGGAGGCACGTGGTAAAGGGAAAAAACAAATCACGATGCAGCCACATCCTGCAATGCCCGGCGTGCGGACCTCGGATGAGCCGTCACCCACGCCAGAGTCGGCCCGACGATTCGTGGACGACCTGTGCCACGGCCGCACGCGGTGGTACATCAACGTTGCGTGCGCACCGTTTGTGCTCACCTTCCGCTCGGCCGCGACGTACCTTGCTCCCTGCATCCAAGTCCTCGGCGATCGGGCGCTGTCCGGGCTCACGCGCCGCGCTTGCGCGCCGTGCCTGCATCTGTCGTGCTTCTCCTTCACCGACTCGGAGTTCCCAGCGTCGAGCAAGTCGCTGGGCACCGCAGCGGCGCCGCACGCAGAGTGGCGGCGCGGGCCTCAGCTGCAGCCGATGCAGCGCCGCGGCACTGCGCTCGTGAGAGACGGCATCCAGCCGGCCGATATCGCGCAGGGTGCGCTCGGAGACTGCTGGCTGCTCGCCGCCGCCGCCTGCCTGGCAGAGTTCCCGGGCGTGCTGCAGAACCTGTTTGAGCAGACGCACGTCTCTCCGCGAGGCAAGTACGCGCTGCGGCTCTGGGACGTCGTCGGCCAGGCGTGGATGCGGGTCTGCGTGGACGACTTCTTTCCTTGCGACAGCCGGAACGGGCAGCCGCTCTTTGCCCAGCCCGCCGACGGCGAGCTGTGGGTGTTGCTGCTCGAGAAGGCGTTTGCGAAGTACTGCGGCTCGTACGGCGAGCTGCAGGGCGGGCTCACGCTGTGGGCGCTGCACGTCATGACGGGCGACCACTGCTTTAGCCTGAAGCGCGAGGCGTCGCAGCGGCGCCGCGAGAGGGCCTCGCCCCGCTGACCGGCAGGCGTGTGCGCACGTTGCTTGGGCCCGCCTCCTGATAGGCGCTGGAAGAGACTTGACCTCGTCTCGATGGGTACGCGAGAGCAGCCGCGCAAGTGCGCGCCCCCGCGCGGGGCGAGAGCTGTGAGCGGCGTCTCCTCACGCGCCATGCCACGAGCAGGTGCGGCTTGCGCGCCACGGCCGAGTCCTTTGGCGGCGAGGAGCTCTGGTCCCTCCTGCTGGGGTACGACCGGGCGCACGCGGTGCTCGGCGCGTCCATCTCGAGCGGCGGCGGCGAGGAGAGGCGGAGCGACGGCCTGGTTGCGGGGCACGCCTACGCCGTGCTCCAGTGTCGCGAGGTGCGGCCGGCGCGGCCGGCGCAGCTGTGGGGCGGCGTCTCTTCACGCCTCCGGCTGTGAGCAGGTGCTGGGCGTGCGGCTGATGCAGCTTCGCAACCCTTGGGGCGCCTTCGAGTGGAGGGGGGACTGGTCCGACCACTCGAGCAAGTGGAAGGAGCAGCCGGAGATCAAAGAGGCGCTCTGGCCCGAGAGGCGCTCAAAGGAGGCGGACGGGTGGGACGACGGCGCCTTTTGGATGGGGTTCGACGACTTTTGCGCCCTCTTCACGCTGCTCGACGTCTGCGACCGCACCACCGGGGTGCGCGACCTCGCCTTCGCCCTCGACGAGGACGACGGCTGCTTGCGCGGCCCCGCCTGCGCGTGCGCGCGGGGCTGCGCCCGCTTCTGGTGCCTCTGCCACGGCCCGCGCGCGCTGTATTGGGGCCACCAGAGCAGCCGCGACACGATGGCGCTGCCGAAGCGTAGCTGCCGCTGCCTCGAGCGCTGCAACGGCGGGGAGCCGGTCCTCCTGTGAGAGCGACCATGCGGGATCGAGACCCGTGGCTTTCTAAGCAGCTTTGCCGTGCACGCAGCGACGTGACGAAGTTGCGGAAAATATTATTACACATGTTGTAGTGAAAAACGCGCGCGTACCGTACGCCCGGGACGGCACGCCCGCGCGCCACGACGACGAGCCCCCGCCTCCGGGACCGCGACAAATCGTGTACTGTATGACAATCGGCCTCAAAACGGATTCCCACTTAACAGCGCTCCAGCCGCGGGCAGCCGCAGTGAGAGCGGTCTCGGGTCGGCGCGTCTCCCACACGGAGCCCCCGGTGCGCCAGCCGAGCGGCGCCTCTCCTTGTCCGCGAGCCTGGCATCAGATCCAGTCGCCCTCCTTGAGCTTGCGCGGCAGGTAGGTCTTGGAGAGGTACTGGAAGCCGAAGGAGGAGAGGGCCTGTTCGCAGTGGGAGGCGTGAGGAGACCCGCTCGAGGGCGGGGGGAGGGGGAGGGAGGGGGGGGCTTGGGGAGGGGGTCATGGGAAGCGGGGCAAGAGGGCGGAAGCGGCAGGGGGGCGGCGAGGGAGGGGAGGGGGGGGGTCTCGAGAGGGAGGCCTGGATCTCGGCCTTGACCTTTGTCTTGACCATCAGCTCGAGCTCGCGGTGCCACTTCGGGTTCGCCTTGATAAAGTCCTCCTCGAGCAGCTCCCTGCCCGTCTTGAGGTCATGCTCCGACATCTCGAGCCGGCACTGCTGCGGGATCGAGTACTTGTCGAGGTCGGACGGGCGGACGCCTAGAAGGTTCCTGGAGGTTCCTAGAAGGTTCCTAGAAGGTTCCTGGAGGTCGGACGGGCGGACGCCGAGCCACTTGATGTCGGGCGTGGTCAGGTTGATCGAGTCGTACGACATGTTCTTCGAGCCCTTCATGCAGACGGACGGAGAGGATCTTGAGCCGGACCTCGAGTGATCTCGGGTGATCTCGGGTGATCTCGGGTGATCTCGGGTGATCTCTAGTGACCTCGAGTGATCTCGGGTGATCTCGGGTGATCTCGAGTGACCTCGGGTGATCTCGGGTGATCTCCGCGCCTTCATGTAGACGGAGAGGATCTTGAGCCCGTAAGGGTCGGCGTCGAACAGCCCGAGGATCGGCACGTTGAGTGCGGAGCGCACCTGGGGAGGGTGTGGCGGGGGGCAGGGGGGGGGGGGGGTGCCGCGGAGGTGTGGGTCTGTCGAGTTGCGCCGAGATGCGCCGAGATGCGCCGAGATGCGCCGAGATGCGCCGAGATGCGCGCGGCCACCTTGTTGAGGAAGAGCCGCGTGGCCACGTCGGGCTGCCCCTTGCCTAACACACAGCCCCGCACGCCTCACACAAAGATGAGCTTGCTGTCCAGCCGTGTCGGGCTGCCCCCGGTGCCGGAGATGATGACGCACGGGTAGTCGTTGTAGAAGCGGTCCTGTACCAACGACTCAGATGGTCAGGCAGCAAACAGAGTCATCCATCCGATGGTCGATGTAGCGGCGGTCCTCGCGAGCCGCATGAAGTGTCTAGGAAGTGTCTAGGGAGTGTCTAGGAAGTGTCTAGGAAGTGTCTAGGGAGTGTCTAGGGAGTGTCTAGGAAGGGTCTAGGAAGTGACTAGGGAGTGTCTAGGGAGTGTCTAGGAAGTGTCTAGGAAGGGTCTAGGAAGTGTCCTCCGCGAGCCGCATGAAGGCGGCGTCCTTCTCGATGAGCAGGATGAACCTGATTCAGCAGTCCCCCCCGCGGGTGAGGGGCCGCCTCGCTCGGCGGCGGCCTCCTCGACGAGCAGGGATGAACTGCGCGTCGCCGCGCACGTTTGTGACGCGGTCGATCGAGGGCGGGATCGCCTGAGAGACGAGTCGTGCATGAGCCGTGTGGGGCGTTGTCAGGCCGCTGGAGTGGCCCCGCGTCGGCGTTCAGCTTGGGCGACTCTCCGGAGGCACATGAGGCGGCAAGTCTGCGGCAAGTCTGCGGCATGCGCATGTGCATGCCGCGCCTTCCCGCCCATGCCCATCTTTGTGCAGTCGATGGTGTCGCCGTCGTCCTCAAAGATGAGCTTGCCGACGACGATGCCTGCTCGCACAGGCAGAGGCGTGAAGAGACGAGGCCAGCCAGGCTCGAAGGGTCCGCCCCTTGCGACGCTGGCCCTTCTCCGACGCGACCACGTTGAGGGACGAGCGGGTGCAGCCGACCTGTTCACAGTCCGGCGGCGTGACGGCGCGGGCTCGTTGTGTCGAGGGAGGGGGTGGTGGGGCCGGCCATGCACGCGACGTCGTCGAGGACGTCGTCGGACTCGGTCTGCTGCTTGAAGAGCTTGACGTCTGGGGGGGGAGGGGGGTGGGGGGGGGGAGGGGGATCCGGATGAGGGGAAGGGTGAAGGCGGGGGTGAGGGTGAGGGCGGCAGTGACGGTCAGGTGTGGGAGGCGGCAGGGAGGAGAGGGGTAGCAGGGAGGAGAGGGGTAGCAGGGAGGAGAGGGGGGGTAGTGGGGAGAGGGGCAGGAGGAGGGACGCGGCAGGGAGGAGAGAGGCAGCAGGGGAGGAGAGAGGCGGAAGCGGAGGAGAAGAGAGAGCACGGGGGTGTAGAAGAGGTCGAGGGTGGGTGTGTGGGGGTGGCGGGCGGCGGGAAGCGGGCAGGCGGCAGGGAGAGGAGAGAGCGCCGGTGTAGAAGAGGTCGCGCTTTGTGACGTGGATGCCCTTCGAGCAGAGCTCGAGCACAATCTGCATCAGCCGGGTGGTGATCGCCTGTTCACGCCAGGACGCCGTGAAGAGGCGCGCCGCTTCACACCCCAGACCCAGCCTCCGGCGGCAGGTGTCGCCGTCTTGCGCGCAGACGAGGCGTTGGAGAAGACGCGCTCGAGCATCTTCTCCTTGAGGACCACCCGGTCGAGCTCCTTGACGTACCTGCGGGCGAGCCAGCCCCGCGAGACACCGGACAAGTGTCAGCCGCGCGGCCGGGCGGCTGTGCTTTGGACGGGGCGTGGGCGAGTCAGCGCCAGCGTGAGCGGATCAGAGGACGTGTGTCGGTGGACGTATGTCGGTGGTCAGGCGGTGGCGCGGCGGTGCAGGCGGAGCGAAGGGAGAGGCGACCGGCGGGCGAATCCTCTTGGGGCGGCGTGCGGGAGAGAGGAGGCGTGTGGGCGTACATCTGGTTGGATGCGACGCGAGAGGGCATCATGTAGGAGAAGCCGTCGCCGCGCATGATGGAGGCGACCGCGCGCATGCAGATTGCCTCGATCTCCGCCGAGACGTCCTCCGCACCCATGTGCTGCACCTCTTTCGACACGCCCGACACGCCGACCTCCTCGAGCGTGCGCTTGCGAGACGAGCCGGCGGCATCCATGCGGCCTCGCAGAGCCTGGACGGGCTGCATGACCTCCGAGGCATCAAACTGCGACGAGGCGCCGGCCTTCTTGCGCGGCGGCATCGAGCAATGTGGTAGAGGTTGAGTGCGACGGTGGCAGTGAGTGGACTGCGCGGCGAAACCGGCTTTTTTTCATGGATTTGCGCATCGCCCTCGAGCCGCTCGACGGCATCATCCAGCTGCGCGACGCGCCCAGCCTCGACATCGCGCAGCAGGCGCAGCACTGTCTCATGCGCTACTGCTCCAACACCACCCTCGTCTACTTCCTGCGCACCATGCCGCCGTCCATGCATGTAGCATGACCATTGATTGAGGCGGCGCAGGAGCACGATCGGCTCATCGCCTCGGCCTTCCACCGCATCGTCGGCTCCGAGGCGGGCTCGCCGGCGCAGTGCGAGCGTGCGCTGCGGCAGGCGCGCCTCCCGGTTAAGCTCGGCGGGCTCGGCCTCACCTCCATGGTGGCGATCCGGCGGGCCGCGTGGGTCGGCACCTGGGCTGGGCGCTCGTGGGCGCTCGTGTGGACGCCGCTTCGGCAGCTCCACGCGCCTTTCCGAGCCGTCGACATCACAGCCGAGTCGGCGGCTGACTTCCGGCAGCTCTCCATCTTCACCGAGCTGCAGGACGCACACAGCACCCTCCTCGATGACTATGACTAGCTCCTCTTGTAGCTCGATCGGTCACACCGCCATCGCCGTCGGGGAGAGGGGGGACGACACTGCTTCGGCAGCGTGCACCTCGATCCTGTACCGTGTTTGTTATGACCCCCCCCAAATGAACACACCAGTGGAGGGAGGGCGAGACGATCGACATGCGGAATCGACGCTTTCCAGGGCTGTCCTCAAGTACATGTGGCCCGAGTTTTTCTCTTTTTCTCGCGATGGCCCCGCCGCGCCGCCGCTCGCGCCGCCTCGCCTCCGCCTCCACCGCTGCTCCCTCGCCAGACACGCCGCCGCCCGTCCGCCTCCTCGACCTCCCCACGGAGCTCCTCGTGCGCGCCCTCTCTCACTGCGACCCCGCCGACATCGCTCGAGTCGCGGCCGTCTCGCTCCTCTTCCACGCCTCGCTTGCGCTGGAGGGCATCCGCTTGTGGGTGCAAGAGCGCGGCTTCGAGCTGCCGGCGCAGCCGGAGGACGAGGGCTGCGCCGTGCGGTGGCTGTGCTTCTCGGCGCTGCTGCGCGAGTCCAACCCGCCGGCGAGGGCCGCGGCAGGCCGCTACCACAGCCTCTTCATCGTCGGCGAGGGGCGGCTCTCGTCGTGCGGCTATGCGCCGAACTGGAATCCAGGGCTGCTTGGCCACGGCGAGGGCGTGACGCGGCTCAACACGCCGACCCGCCTCCCGTCGACGCTGGGCGGCGAGCGCGCCGTGAGCGTGACGTCTGGACTTCAGCACAGCCTCGCCCTCACCGGCGGCGGCAGTGTCTGGAGCTGGGGCGATGGAGTCTCTGGCAAGCTAGGCCACGGCGACGATCAGGACCAGCTGCTGCCGAAGAAGGTCGAGGCCCTAGCTGGCCAGCGCGTCGTCGCTGTGTCGGCTGGATGGTACCACAGCCTCGCCCTCACCGCTGACGGCGCCCTCTGGAGCTGGGGCGATGGGCGGCAAGGCCGTTTGGGCCACGGCGACGAGCTGAGCCACCTGCTGCCGAAGAAGGTCGAGGCCTTGGCTGGGCGGCGCGTCGTCGCTGTCTCGGCTAGAATTGCGCACAACCTTGCCCTCACCGCCGATGGCAGCGTCTGGAGCTGGGGCTATGGAGCCTGCCTGGGCCACGGCGACGAGCAGAACCAGCTGCTGCCCAAGAAGGTCCAGGCCTTTGCTGACCAGAGCGTCGTCGCTGTCTCGGCTGGAGGCGCGCACAGCCTCGCCCTCACCGCCGACGGCGCCCTCTGGAGCTGGGGCAATGGAGTCTCTGGCAAGCTGGGCCACGGCGACACGCAGACCCAGCTGCTGCCGAAGAAGGTGGAGGCCTTGGCTGACCAGCGCGTCATCGCTGTGTCGGCTGGAGAGAACCACAACCTCGCCCTCACCGCCGATGGCGCTGTCTGGAGCTGGGGCTGGGGAGGCTCTGGCCAGCTGGGCCACGGTGACACGCAGCACCAGCTGCTGCCCAAGAAGATCGAGGCCTTTGCTGGCCGACGCGTCGTCGCTACGTCGGCTGGGGTCTACCACAGCCTCACCGTCACCGCCGACGGCGCCTTCTTTACCTGGGGCGAGGGCCCCCACGGCTGCCTAGGACACGGAGAGGACCTGTCGGACCAGCTGCTGCCCAAGAAGGTCGAGGCATGGGCGCCGGGGCAGTGATGACAAGGGTGAAAGGGTGCACAGGACTGTGCTGCCATGTGCCTAGTCGTCGCGTGCGAACGTATCTGAGAGTGGAGAGAGGCGAATCCGGGACGGTGGAGGTTTGTGCATGGTCCACTGTTTCCTGCGGGCTGCGCTCGGTCGGCACCGGGCGGGCGGGCACACCGCCTCGGTATACGAAATCTGCCTGCGGGCCGACCCTCACAGCTCACAGCTCACAGCTCAATGACCAAACTCTGTCGAGGGAGCTCGGTCAGGGGTGGAAAGAGATGTAGGACCTTCCTTCCGTTAGCAAGGTCCGCCTCTATCACACCCTCACTGTCTGTCTGCGATATTACCGATTTGAGCTTCTTGTTTCTTACGTCAACCTATCTTTGTGCGATTTCGGCCCTGGGTTGTGGTTTTCTGTGAACGCGGGTAGTCTCCCTCCATCCCCCGGGCCTCCAGGGCTCGCTCGCACCTCAACCTAGCTAGACCAGCGCACAGGGCCTGTGGGCCACAGCGCCATAGGACGTATTTCCTTCTCAATAACAAGGCTGTGAACAGACCAGCGCACAGCGCCATATTCCCCTGCAAATTCTTTTTGTGCATCCCAGACGCCGAGCCCTCCGCCACCAAGCCGCGCCCCCGCCCTCACCCCCTCCTCCCTCGCCGCCTCCGCCATCGCCGCCGCCTCCCTCTCCGCCGCCGCCCTCACCGCCCCCTCCGTCGCCGCCGTCGCCATCACCGCCGCCGCCATCGCCACCACCTCCCTCGCCACCACCGCCCTCCCCGCCCCCGCCAAGCCCGCCTCCGCCGTCGCCGCCGCCGCCGTCGCCTCCGCCACCATCCCCGCCGCCGCCCAGCCCTCCGCCACCATCACCACCACCGCCCAGCCCTCCGCCCCCAAGCCCGCCCCCGCCATCGCCGCCGCCTCCCTCGCCACCGCCGCCCTCGCCGCCACCACCGTCACCACCGCCTCCGAGCCCGCCCCCGCCCTCGCCTCCGCCGCCCTCGCCACCACCCCCGTCTCCGCCACCGCCGAGCCCTCCCCCGCCCTCTCCCCCTCCGCCCTCACCGCCGCCGCCCTCGCCGCCGCCGCCCTCGCCGCCGCCACCGAGCCCGCCGCCACCGTCACCCCCGCCCCCGTCGCCGCCACCTCCCTCACCGCCACCGCCCAGCCCGCCGCCGCCATCTCCCCCACCGCCCTCACCGCCACGCTGCCAGCACAGCCGCCGGGCGACGCGACAGCGGCTAGCGGCCGGGAGAGCCTCTCCAGTGCGGGCTGGGGGCGGCGGCGGCACTCTGCGGGTGGCGGGCGAGCTGCTGGCTGGCCGGCGGCGCGTCTCGACTCAAATTATGGGCCGCCTCTCGGGCGTGCGGCCAGGGGCCCGTGTGGCGCGAGGAGAGGGCGGCGCGCTCGGCGCGCTGGCGGCGGTGAAGCCTCTCAGAGTGGGCGCTGGCTGGCCGAGGGCGTCGGGCGGGTGTGGGGCGGCACTCGGGCCGCCGGACGGGCCGTGGTGGCCCGTGTGGCGTTCGTGAGGGACTGTTTGGGCGCCCCGGCAGCCTCCCCGCCTGCGTGACCAGGGCCGGTTTGGCAGCGGTTTGGGCTGTGTGTGGGCTGGTCGCGGTACGGGATATAGTGCTTGTTTATGGTCCCACTCACCACTCCCGGCCAACGGGGCCTCGCGGGGCGTCCTCGCTTGCAGTAAAAGGCCTCTGCCATCGCTCAGAGTCCCAAACCATGTGATCATCCGCGCCGCCGCGCCCGAGTACGCGAGTACTAGTCTGCCAGAGATGCGACGTCGTCGGGGAGGGCGTCGTCGCGGGCGCCAACGTCGTCATCCGAGCCCCTCCGCCTGTCCAAGGGCACGTCTGGGTGACCAGGGGCGGGGGCCGAGCCGTGAGTGCTCCGCCGGGGCGAGCTTCTGGGTCCATGGGACCGCTGCCGGACCCATCCGAGAGCCTCTCCGGACACGTTCGCTCGACGGCCTAGTTGGCGGCCGATGTTCGACGACCAAAGCTCCGGACGCCGCGGCAAAAGGTCCGCCCACGGCCCCAGGACTCGTGGTGGGTGTGGGGTGTGCCTCACGAGGCGGAGAGGCCGCGTGAACGCCCGTAGAAGCTCGCGAAGTGCGGATTTGGAGCGCCGCGCCGGACCTCCGCCGGGGCCCGCCGGCGGGGGCGCCGTATGGGCCTCAGAGTGCCCGAGAAGCTTAGAGGTGCGGATTTTTTGCTTGTGTCTATCGGTTCATGTCATGGACCGGCCCTGGGAAGCCTTTGACCGCGCGCGAAGGGACACTTACGGGGCCGTGATGATTTAGCGGGTTGGAAATCGGCCGATTTGCCCAGTGTGTCAGAGGCTGATGATCAAGCTGCACTCTGTTTTGTTTGTTTTGTGTCACGGAAGATTGACGCCTTTCTGGAGCGATTCCGCGGAGACGCGGTTCTGTACTGATCTGTAAGAAACCTAAACCGCGCCGCTGCCCCCACATGGTTCATTTGCTCACCCTCCTCTACACGTACTGGGAGTGCTCCTCTGCCGCCTCGGTCGCTGCCCGCGCCTTGGCGTTGGCCTCTGCCAGCGCCGTGGCCTTCGCAGCAGCTGCATCCGAACGTCTCGCTTTGGCGGCAGCGATGGCCGCCGCCGCCGTCGCAAGCACCGCCGCCTCCTCAGCTGCTGCGACCTCCTCCGCCTCCGCTGCCGCCATAGCCGCCGCCTCGGCCTCAGCCTGCTGACGAGCTGCCTCGGCCATAGCCTCCCTCGCCTTGCAAGCCGCTTCTGCAGCCAGCGAGGACGACCCTTGCTCCGCCGCCGCCGGCTCCGCCGACGCCGCTGCCGCCCCCCTTCCCTTCCCGCCTCGGCCGCCTCGGCCTCGGCCGCCTCGGCCGCCTCGGCCGCCTCGGCCGCCTCGGCCGCCTCGGCCGCCTCCTTGGGGCGAAGCAGCCGCAGTCGCCTCGGCTGCCTCGGTCGCGCCTGCCCTCGCCTCGTCGTCCAGCCTCGCGCTCTCCTCTTGCGCCGCCTGCACCGTTGCCAGCTGCTCGCGCCTCGCCTCCTCCTCGGCTGCGTTTTGCGCCTCGTCGGCCGCGAGCTCAGCTGCGAGCGCCTCCGCCTTCTTGGCCGCGGCGCGCTTCTCGCGCTCCTTCTCCACCGCAAAGGCGGATGGCGCGTTGCGCTGCGCCTTCCTCTTCTCCTTGGCCGCCTTCTTGGCCTCCTTCTGCTCCTCCAGCCGCACGAGCCGCTTCGCCTCCGCCTCTCTCTTCCGCCTCTCCGCAGCTTCCTCCCTCTGCCGCGCCGCCGCCGCCTCGTCCGCCTTGCGAACCGCGAGCGCTTCCCTCTGCGCCTCTCGCTCCGCAGCCTCGGCCGACGAGCGCTCCGCCTTCCTCGCTCGCTGCGCCGCCTCCGCCGCAGCGCGGTTGGCGGCAAGCTTCGCCGCGGTCTCGACGGCGATGGCGCGCCGCTTCTCCTCGACGGCGGCAGCGACCGCCGCCCGCCGCTCCTCGACCGCCGCCCGCCGCTCCTCGACCGCCGCCCGCTTGGCCGCCTCCTTCGCCGCCGCCTCGGTACGCCGCGCCGCCGCCTCAATTGCCTCCTTCGCCGCCGCCTCGGCCGCCGCGTGCTCCTCGAGGGCGCGCACGCTTTCGGCGTGGCCCTTGTGCTTGGCAATCTGCAGCGCCGTCCTGCCGTCGTCTGCAGAGCACGCCACGTCTGCGCCCGCCCGCAGAAGGCGGAGCACGACGGCGGGGCGGTTGAAGAAAGCGGCGCACATCAGCGCGGTGCCGCCGTCGCTGCCCTGCAAGTTGACCCCCGCGCCGTGCCGCAGCAGCAGGTCGACCACCCGCTCGTGGCCATAGCGGGCGGCGCTCATCAGCAGCGTGAGGCCGCTCACCGCGTCTCTCTCGTACGTCGCGTCGACCCGCCCACCGCCGTCGAGCCACGCCAGCACCGCGTCCTCCTCGCCTCGCTGCGCCGCTCCCACGACCTCGTCGGGGACTGCCTCCGCCGCAGCTGCCCTCTCCGCCTCCCTGGCCGCTGCCTTCGCGATCTCGGCAGCATCGCTCGATGTCAGCTCCGCCGCCGCCAGCCGCATCTTCTCCGCGATCTCGGCCGGGACTGCGCCACCGCTCGGCGCCCGCTCCGCCGCCGCCGGCGACAGATTACCCGGCCGCACCCGCACGCACGCGCCGCTGCCCTCGAGCGCCACAGCGTACCGCCCTAGCCTGAAACTCTGCGCCATGCCGCGCTGGCCGTTCAGCTCGGGGCGGTCCGAGAGCCCACCAAGCACGACTCGCTGGCCGAGCAGCGGCGCGTCCACAGCTGCCGCTGCCGCGCACGAGGAAGCGCCGCCCGCCCCTGCTCGGCCCGCCGCCGCCGCCGCCGCGCCCGCCGCCTCGCGCCGCGCCGCCGCCTCAGACAAGACCTTGACGCACTCGGCGTGGCCCTCCTCCTTGGCCAGCTGCAGCGCCGTACGCCCGTGCGAGGTGCGCGCCGCTGTGTCAGCGCCCGCCCGCAGCAGGCAGAGCACGACGGCGGGGTGGCCCTCCTGGCACGCAACGTGCAGGGGCGTGCCGCCGTTGTTCAGGGCTGGATTGACCGCCGAGCCGGCCTCGAGGAGCAGCTGGACGCAGTCGAGCTGGCCCTCCTGGCACGCGATGAACAGCGGCGTGGCGCCATTCTCCTCGGCTTGGTTGACTGCCGCGCTGGCGCCGAGGAGCAGCTGGGCGCACTCGAGGTGGCCGTTCTGGCACGCAATGAACAGCGGCGTGGCGCCGCCACCGTCGGCTTGGTTGACCGCTGCGCAGGCGCCGAGAAGCAGCCGGACGCACTCGAGGTGGCCGTTCTGGCACGCCATGAACAGCGGCGTGGCGCCGCCACCGTTGGCTTGGTTGACCGCCGCACGCGCCTCGAGGAGTAGCTGGGCGCACTCGAGCTGGCCCTTCTGGCACGCAATGAACAGCGGCGTGGAGCCGCAGCCCGTCGTCGCCCCCACGCTCGCGCCGCTCTCGAGCAGCAGCTGCACGGCATCGGCCTGCCCGCGCCGAGCGGCGTAGGTCAGCAGCGTGAACTGGTCGGCGAGTCGCGCGTCGAGCAGGGCCGTGAGCGCCGGGCCGGGCGTCCGCCCAGCGAGGAGGGCGCGCAGCGAGGCCGGAATGCCCATGGCGGCGAGGCTTTGTTTCTGTGGGCTTCCCGTCGCTCCGCGCCGGACCGGACCCGGAGGCGGCGGCGGCGCGGCGGCGCGGCGGCGGATCGCGGCGCAGACAACAGCAGCAATCTGCGGCAGGCTGCTGCTGCGGCTGCGGCGCCGTGGTCAGGAGCTGCTGTTCACGCCGGTCCACACTTTCATAGTGGACAGTACTCGTATCTCATGCACTTGGAGCACTTGGAGTGCAGTCATCAACCTCACATCCAGGGCCGGGGAGCTGAGAAGCGCACCCAGCGGGCCGGATGATCGGCATCGGGTTACGGGCTAGAGAGCCCTAGCCCTGGGGGGTGCGCGTTCGCAGGGAAAGGGCCATCATCAGCAGCGTTGCGCCAGTGATCACCCGGCCATCCAAAGCCCGACGCTCGCGGGTGGCGTTCGCTCGCCCGCCACCCTCAAGCCACACACGCACCGCCACTTCGTCACCTCGCAAAACACGCCACTACGTGGTCAGCCGTCTCGGGGGGGGCAGCGAGAGGGCCCAACTTCAGAATCGTGCTTTTTGGGTTGGGTTGGGTTGTTGGCCCGGGTTGGGTTGTTCCGTGAGGTTGGGTCGTCGGCGCGAATGGTGAGGTCTCGACCGCCGCCGCTCACGCCAGCGGACGGCCACCATCGGTGTTTTTGGCTTCGCCACCGTCCAAGGCGTGCGCCATGCGCTCGCCGGCATCGAGCGAGCAACGTGATCGACCGAGCGGCTTGCTGTGTGGACGCCTTCTTCTGGCTCTCGTCGAGAGCGTTTTGCGTCCCGGCGGGTGGGAGAATATGTGTCGTCTGATGTGTCACTGTGTACGTCACATCGGTGTGGATAACAAGCACGGTCGATCCGTCAAAGCGATACACTCGTTCCTATCACGCTGGAAGGCTTGCACGGAGCTCTGCGCCGGCACACAGAAGAGCCGTGCGGCAAGAGAAGAGCTCGATGGGGAGCGAGAACCGTCAGATTTTCAGGTGTTACCTGAAGTCCGTCGCGATGCACTCAATCCCTCCCGAGCGAAAGCCTGTGGCTCTCTCGAACTCGTCGATATATTGCGGATAAACTGCTCTTCCCGCATAGCTTGCAGAGTCAGAGGCGCAGAAAGGCTGCGAGTGCTCGACGAGTCTTGCGAGCTGCGCGGTCAAACCTGGGGGGAACTGACCGCATCAAGGCGGACTTCCGAAACCTGGGTGAGCACCTCTGACGGTTCTCGCTCCCCATCGAGCTCTTCTTGCCGCACGGCTCTTGCTGTGTGCCGGCACAGAGCTCCGTGCCAGCCTTCCAGCGTGATAGGAACGAGTGTATCGCTTCGACGGATCGACCGTGCTTGTTATCAAGACCGATGTGACGCACACAGTGACACATCAGACGACACATATTCTCCCACCCGCCGGGACGCAAAACGCTCTCGACGAGAGCCAGAAGAAGGCGTCCACACAGCAAGCCGCTCGGTCGATCACGTTGCTCGCTCGATGCCGGCGAGCGCATGGCGCACGCCTTGGACGGTGGCGAAGCCAAAAACACCGATGGTGGCCGTCCGCTGGCGTGAGCGGCGGCGGTCGAGACCTCACCATTCGCGCCGACGACCCAACCTCACGGAACAACCCAACCCGGCCAACAACCCAACCCAACACGAAACAACCCAACTCAAAGCACGATTCTGAAGTTGGGCCCTCAGCTCGCCGCCACGCACAGATTTTTATTCTCTGAGCCTAGCGCAGCGCGAGATTTGCGCAGCAACCCGGCCGGGCAACCCTTGCAAAGAAACTTATGGGCTTTTTTTGGACACGCGCCTCCTCGAATTCTTGGATCGCACTAGATACTACTACCAGGGTGCAGTGCCAGTGCGCGCAGTCCCGTGCCCTGCGGGCTGATACAGTGTGATTCTTCGGGGCGCTTCAATGTCGTTGTCGCCGCTCCTCACACTCTGCGTGGCCCTGTGGATGCCGCCCGTGCGTGTCGGCCGACCCAGCCCGCTCGCCATCGAGGAGGACGCTCTCCGCGCTGCAGCCGCACCGCTCTCGAAGTACAATGGCAGCACCGACCTGGACGCGCCGCGCCTCCCGAGAGGCTGGCACGTCAACCGCGCCGAAACGGTCATTGGGCATGGCCGGCCGGCGTATGAGCGCGCCGCCAACGCACTGCAGCGACTCGAGCTCCTGGAGCACACGTGGCTCACCGCGCGCTGTGTCTGTGCGACAGACCGGGAGCTGCTGGCGGTGTGCTCTCGGCAGTGGGGCTGCGTCTGGCTCACAAACACGAACCTCGTGCTTCGACGCGAGTGCGGCGCGCGGCGGTCCAGCGTGTCCTGGGGAACGACGCGGCGGCATGTCCTCGCCGGCGAGGAGACTGTCTGCGTGACACACGACGCCAGCACCGACGGCGTGCGCTTTACCGTGCTCTCCTTCTCGCGGCCGCGCCACCTCTTCTCGGCCGTGGCGTACCCGTACGTGCTCGCGCAGCAGCGGAGGTTCGCTCGCGATGCGACCGCGGCCATGGAACGCGCGTGTGGGAATTCCCAGCCAGCGGGATGAACGATCGCACTCTTGACTGGGACGCAAAAGCGCCGGAAGCGCAAGCGGTGTGGCGTGTGTGTGGGGCTGTGCCTAGACCGAATAATGACCACGCACACGGTGTGTGCGCGTGTGCGGTCGCGCGCGCTAGCACACCCGCGCTCGTAAAGTCGTAAAACAAAGCGATACAACCATTTTGACGGCTCCGCGCTCTGACTCTTACATCGTACCGCTGCGCGCTGGTGCTGCCCCAGCCTCCCGCCGCCTCCGCAGCACGTTGCCCAAACGTCGGAAACCCTCGACCATCGCCTCCTCCTCGGCGGCCGCGAACGAGACGCGCACGAACGGCGTGTCGGGCGGCGTCTCGTGAGCCGAGAAGAAGGCGCCTACCCCAGAACAGGCGGATGAGTCAATGAAATGCATCCTACCGCGGCGCCTCGTGCCCTCGAGAAGAGTAGTCGGCGCCCGGGACGACGCACACGCGCTCGCGCGTCATCTCGTCGAGGAGGTCGGCCGAGCTGCGCACGCCGAGCAGCTCGAGCCAGAGGAACATGCCTGCCAACACACGTAATGCATCATGATTAATGTACTATGACACAGCCCCGCGCCAAGGAGCGTGCCTCCGCGCGGCGCCTCCCACCGCGCCAGGCCGGACAAGTGCTCGGCCGCCGCCGTCAGCGCGACCGCGCAGCGGCGGCGGTAGGCCGCCTGAGCAGGCGGAGGAGAGAGGGGGAGGGGGTTGGGGCGGTAGGCCTGCAAGGCGAGGGTCTCTCCACGCTGCAAAGTGTGACACGGGCGTGGCTCTCCTTCGCGCCTGCGAGAGGGCCTCTCCCACTCTAGGCCCCTCCTCTCGGCCACATCTCTGCCAGCCCCGCCTGCACGCGCTGCACATGCCGGTGGAGCCCGGCGGGGCCCCACCGCCGCAGCATCTCGACGAGGAAGACCTGCACGGGCGAGGAGACGCCGAGCGAGGGGCCGGCGCCCTGCGCGAGCTTGACGATGAGCGGCCGCGGAGCGGTGACGAAGCCGCAGCGAAGGCCGGGCGAGACCCACCTGACAAAGGGGGGTGGGGGAGAGGGGGAGGGTTAGCGCCACCGCTGAGAATCACCGGCCGCGGGCCGAGGCGAGGGGCGAGGGGCGGGGCTCACTTTGAGAAGGTGTCGCAGCGCACGACTCGCCCGTCGGTGTCCACCGACAGGAAGGAGGGGGGCAGTCCAGCCCGCTCCGTGCCGGGGAGCGCCGCGCCGGCGTCCTCGGCGGCGAGGGGATCCTAGCGGAGATACACCCGAGGTTGAGATTGGGCCGAGCTCACGCCGGTCGACCGCGGGGCGAGGAAGCTGCCTCTCCGCCAAAGGCGAGCATGCGGTATGGGTCGTCCTCTGAAGTGTCTAGGAAGTGTCTAGGAAGTGTCTAGGAAGTGCCTCTCCGCCAAAGGCGAGCATGCGGTATGGGTCGTCCTCGATGATGACCACGCCGTGCGCCGCGCAAGCCGCGTACACCGCCCGCAGCGCGGCGAGGCTCGCGCTGGCGGTGGTCGGGTTGTGGAAGGATGGGATGGTGAAGAGCGCCTGCGGGGAAGGCTCCGAGAAGGCTTGGAGAAGGCTCCGAGACGGTTCGAAGAGGTTGTGGAAGGCTGCGAAGCGCGCCTTGGGCGGCCGGACGCCCAGCCGGCGCCACGCCCACCTGGCGAGATGCAGGCGAGATGCAGGCGAGATGAAGGCGAGATACAGGCGAGATACAGGCGAGATACGGCTGGGATACGGTTGGGATACGGCCAAGCTTTGGCCGAGATGCAGCCGAGGTACGGCCGAGGTACGGCTGAGGTAGGGCTGAGGTACGGCCGAGGTACGGCTGAGGTACGGCTGAGGTACGGCCCAAGTCTGAGAGCCCACCCGTCCTGCAGCGCGCGATACTCATTGCCGTGTGTCAATTCTTCTGATGGATCTGGACCCGTCCAGCAGCGCGCGCAGCGCGGCGGCGTCGACTCCTTCCGGTCCGACGGGCAGCGGCTCGAGGCGGAGGCTGCGGCCGCCCACCTGTCGGCAGGCTTTGTGCTCTTGAGCCTCGGGTGCTCTGCCTCGCTGCAGAGGGTGCGGCCTCCCGCCCAAGCGGCGAGCTGCGAGGTCGAGAAGCTAAAGTCGAGCTCGCACACGAGGAGCGTGTCGCCTACGCCGCCGAGCCGCGGCCGAGATCTCGCCGAGAGTCCGCCGAGCTTAACACACGGGCAGCAACAGCTCGTCGCCTGGATCGAGCAGCGCCTCCCACGCGCGCTGGAAGCCTGTTCACGGCTAGAGGCGTGAAGAGAGGCGCATCGCGGCCGGAGCGGCGCTTCCCGTCTGGGTGGCCGTCTGCGTTGCCGGTGCACACGCAGCACTCCCACCCCTGGTAAGGCGGCGCGTGCTGCTCTGCGATGTGTCCTCGCACCCACTCGAGGAGCGGCAGGTAGCCGACGGTGCCCACGCCCGGAGTCACGTCGTGCATGTACTGCTGCGCCTGTGGGCCGATCAACCCTTCCGTCACGAGCAGCGTGCAGCCTCTCCGGCCCGGTCTTGCTTCGCCTTGGCGACGAGCTGTGGCTCGTCGATGCGGACGACGCCGCCGTCGGCGAGCTCGAGCTGGTATGCCCGGACGGGGAAGGTGGTTCGGTGCGGCGTGCCGCCTGCCATCGGCACCATCCCGTCGAGCTTGAGCAGCGGCAGGAGCTCTCGCAGTAGCGCAGGCCGCTTGGCACGGGCGACCCGCGAGAGGCATCGCTCTATCGAGAATGACGGAGCGGCGCGCGAGCTGACACGCACACGTACGAGCCTCGTCACAAAGCTTAGCTGGCGAAGGAGCCGTGGATAGAGCCAGCTGAGCGAGACGCCGGCGACGACGCCAGCGCAAAAGGTGCGCATCATCTGTGTTAGGTCAGCAGCAAGCGGCAACACTGCTCGAGCCAGGGAAGAGGGGCCGGGCCGGCGGCTGCGGCGTAATGGCGCGGTGGCCGGAGACGCCTTGTTTTCTTTTTTGAGGTGGTAAAATTCTTTTTTGCGCCTTCTCCTGTCAATGTCTATCTCACTGTCTGGGTGTGTGGCCAGACCCATGGGTCAGCTCGCTGTGCGTTCGAGCTCGGCGATCGCCTCCTCGACGGCCGCCCCCTCCCGCTCGTGCAATCGCAGGCACAGCCTCGCGCGGCCACGCGCCGCCGCGTTGCCGGCCTCGTCCATCTCCGCCATGCCCTCGACGGCCAAACAAGCGGCGGAGCCCTCCCTCTGCCGCTCCCGCTGCGCCTCCAGCGCGGTGCGGAACACGTGTCGCGCCGCCGCCGCCGCGGCAGAGGGCGCTGTCGACGCGAGTGCCGGCAGGAGGACGGACCCGTCGGGGCTCACGCCCAACCGCACCGAGCTGCCGCGCAAGCCGCAAGCGGCGAGGGCGGCGCGTGCCTCCTCGATCTGCCTCGCCGACTCGTCCGCGTCGCCTCCCATCTCCGCCACGCTCGGCAGCAGCGGCACGACCACCTCGTCCGCCTCTGGCGGCGGAGCGCCTATGGGACGGATCCGAAGCCGCTCCCAAGTGTGGCAGTGGCTGGCTGTCCGAGCGGCGGCGGCGCACCCGACACGCCGCCAACTCCCCCGCCTCCGCCGCCGCCTCCTCCTCCGCCCTCGCCACCGACGCCGCTGCCACCCCCGCCTGCTTCGCCGCCGGTGACCGTCGGCTCCTCGTCGCGCGGCGCGAGGAAGCCGTAGAGCCGCAGCAGCTTGTGCGACGCGCGCAAGCCGTAGTCGATCAGCAGCGGCTCGCCTGGCAGAGTACTCGCAGGATCCGAGAGTCGCCCGGCCAAGAGTTGGGCAGGACCGCGGAGAAGGCTGGGGCGGGCTGCGAGCGCCGCGTGAAGCTAGATCGGCTGGATCTCGGCTCGATCTCAGCTCGATCTCGCCCGCCGCGTGTCGTCGCTGCGCCACCAGCTCGAAGCAGCCGCTGTCGCCGTCGAAGCGCACCGCCGCGCCCGCCGCACCGCCCGCCTGCGCGACAGCGGGCGGGGAGCACCACAGCCGTGTTAGAGCGTGGAGCTGATCAGAGAAGCGTCTCTAGATCTGCCGGTAGCGTGTCTCAGGGCTGTCTCAGATAACTCTTCGAGCATTCGCAGATTGGAGTGTCTCTGAACTGCCTCCGAGCTGCCTCCGAGCTGCTTCTTGCACCGCATCTAGCGGCCCCCGCGTGGTTGACGAGGTCGATCCCAGGCACGAGGGCGAGGGGCTTGCCGTCGCCAGAGTGGGCGCGGCTCAGAAGCACCGCCTGCGCCCAACGGTACGCGCAGCTACCCACCTTGTCCACCCCTCAGCTAGGTCTCCGGCTAAGTGTCGGTGATGGGAGAACCGCCTGAGCCCAGCGGAATGCGGCCCGCTCCTCGCCCGCCCCGCCGCCGCCCGCCGCCCCGCCGCCCGCTGCGGCAGAGTGCACGCTGTCGGAAAGTGCCGCCTGAGACAGCTCCGAGACGGTGCTGAGACGGTGCCGAGAGGGCGTGTCTGCTGTGGCGGAGCCGCCTGAGAGACTGACGCAGGGCCGGCGCTGGTCCCTCGGAGCAGTGCGTCTCGCAGCGGCGGCGGCCAGAGCAGAGGCACGTCCGGGACCGGCAGCGCGGACACGTACGGCGAGGACTCGCTCCGCCTCTGCGCGGCGAGGGCGAGGGCAAGCAGCGCGGCGTCGGCGAGGGCGGCGCCGGCGCCGAGCGAGGCGGCAAACGCGTCCGTGCGAGTGGCGACGGCGTTGCCGGCCGCCTCCCGCGCCGCCGCCGCAGAGAAGGGCCGCCACGCTTGCGGAGGGACGGAGAGCGCCACGTCGCCCGCCGCGAGGTCGCGGGCGGCGGCGAGGCCAGAGCCGGCCGGAGAGACCGCGGAGAGCTTCACGCCCGCGAGCCGCGCGTGCTGCCCTAGCCAAGCGAGTTGCCGCGCCGCGCTGTCGTAGTGAACGCGGGACATGCAAAACGCGCGCGGCGAGAAAAACTTTGGCCTTGATAGTGCAGCGCCAAGCGCTCCAAGTTTCTTCATGCCAAGCGAGCGGGAGGGAAGTAGCCCAAACGGAATGGGCGCCCAACACGTGCCCGGATTACTGTGCCTTCCCGGGCACAGCCTTTCGGCTCGTGAAGGGTCGGTGCGTGTCGTGACCCCCTGGATGGATGGAACACCCGTACCCCCGCACCATCTCCGTCGCTTGGTTATTCAACCTTCACCACCACCGGGAGGCGGCCAGGGCTTCATAGACTCGGTCGAGAGACCCCAGATTGGCATCCATGCCTTTCTGGACAGGGTGGCCCGCCACAACGACCCCTGGAATTGCGACTCGCCGCTTTCCTCCCGCTGTGATTCTGTGTGAGCTTTTCTTGTTTGCCAAGAATACACCTCTACGGAAAAAAAACGGAAATTCTTCCCGCGAAATGCTCGCCTCCGCCCGCTACGAGCTGCGGCTCGCCGCTCTTCCGCCCGATGCCCTGAGATCACCGCCGGCGCCATGCGGGACAGCCCCGCTGCAAACAGGAGGGCCGAGGCGCTCCTCGCCCACCACAGCCCTCCGCCCGCCGTCGCGACCGACGTCCTGGCGGACCCAGACCTTGCGCCGTGCGTGCTCGAGAAGACGGGCCTGCGCCACGCGGCCGTGTGCAAGCGGTGGTCCCTGATCTGCGCGCCGCGCGGTGCCTTCGCGCGGCTGGTGGAGACCGCTGGCGATGCCTCCTCGGAGCTGCAAGCTGCTGCGCTCGGAGAGCTCAAGCGGCTGTCGGGAGAGGAGGCCGGCGGCAGGCGGGTGGACGCGCTCGTCGCTCTCTTGCGTGTTGAAGGCGAGGACGAGAAGGCGGACGTCGCGGCAACGCTTCAGGAGCTTGCCCGGGACGACGATGAGAGCAGGGTGGCGATTGCTGCGGCCGGCGGGCCCTCGTCGCGCGATCGCTGCGGCCGGCGGGGTCGAGGTCCTCGTCGCGCTGGCTCAGGACGGGAATGAGGCGCAGAAGGAAGAAGCGGGCTAACCTCGCTATCAACGACGACAACGCGGCGGCGGCGATTGCCGCGGCCGGCGGCAGAAGGAGGATGCGGCGGGAGCGCTGGCGAACCTCTCTGTCGACGACGACAGAGTGGCGATTGTTGCGGCCGGCGGCATCGAGGTCCTAATCGCGCTGGCTCACGACGGGAATGGGGCGCAGAAGGGGCTGCGGCGGCGCTGTGGAAGTTCTGCCAACGACGACCTCAAGGTGGCGATCGCCGCTGCCGGCGGGATCGAGGTGCTTATTGCGCTGGCTCGCCACGGGACTGAGGGGCAGAAGGATTGTGCGGCAGGGGCGCTGGCGAACCTCGCTATCAACGCCGACAACAGCGTGATAGCCGCGGCCGGCGGGATCGAGGTCCTTATCGCGCTGGCTCGCGATGGGAATGAGGCGCAGAAGGAGTGTGCGGCAGGGGCGCTCGTCAACATGATTGAGGTAGCGTCTGGCACGCACGAGGGCGTCGTGGAGGCTGGCGGTGTGGCGGTCCTCTCCTCTCTCACGCAGGAGGCAGGCGCCTCGGACGACTGCAAGCTCGCTGCTGCCATTGCCCTTGTGGACCTGGCCAGCACCTGTCCCGACCTCGCGGCTGACGACACTTGCCTCTCGCTGCTGCTCTCGCGGCTCGACCAGCCCGAGGAAGATGGCTGGCGCAGAGACAGCATCAACGCCCTCCTCGCCCTCGCAGCCTCCTCGTCTGCGTGCGCTGAGCAGTGGCACCGGGTCGGCGGCGTTGCGGCGTTGCAGGCGCTCGCTCGAGAGACGGCGGAGGAGGGGGTGGAGAGGCAGGCGGAGAGGTGCAACCAGGCGCTAGTCAGCCTCGGCGTGAGGAGGGTGCGCAGGCGGACGGCCGCGTGATAGTGAGCCTGGTCATGGGCGGCCGTCTCTGTGCTAGTGTGTGCGGCACCAAACCTGGGAGACTCCCTCGGGGCTTCGTGAATTATTTTGTCCATGGCCGTTGGGAGTTGGCGGGCGCCGACCACCTACTCGCTCAACAGCAACTGATTGATTGATGGGAAGGCGAAACACAGTCCGACCAACGACTGGGACACCAACGCGGTATGGGTGGACGCAAGACGGGCGACGACGGTCACACAGGAGCGACACACAGAACCACAAGACAAGACACTCAGCCAACGTGGCTGCCACACATCCTGAGCGAACTTCCCTAGTCACCCGCGGCCGGACTCCATCCGGCACGCGTCGCTGGGCGCTCAGAGCTACGTCCCCTGCTCGCCACCCCGACGCCCAAAAGGCGCCCGAGCGAACGACAGGCGGCACGCGCGAAGACTGGTTGAGCAATCCCGCCGCGTGAGTGAGCGCTTTTGAGTCTTCGTTGTTTAGGCGCCCACAAAAAGAATTTTAACCTTCGCGACAATTTGAAGTCGGGAAAAAGAAAATCGGCGTGGTTGGCGTGCGTCCATCCGGCCACTGCGCACACCATACATGGGAGCTTGTGCGTCGTGCGCCCAGGCGAGCACCGACGACGTGCCACCGCCAGCGGAGGCCGACCCTGCCGCAGCGGAGGCCGCCCTGAACACGAAAGGACCGCCGCCTTCAGTGTTGTCGTACCCCATCGGCACGCCAGGGCAGCCGTGGGGCGAGTCTGAGCGTAAGAGTTGGTACCAGAGGGCATCGAGCACACAGCGGTCGTATGAGGAGGATGTCGTCTCCAGAGTGATGGCCCTCGAAGACAGGTTTGAGGTCGTCCTTTACGGTAGGCTGTATGATCGCTATTCGCTCTTCGCGGTCAGGAGCAAGCAGTGGGATGCAAGCAAGCCCTGCTGCTTGGTCTCCGGCGGCGTTCATGGCTACGAGACTAGTGGCGTCAAGGTGTGCCCCACACGAGTGTGTAGACCGTTTCAGGTTGCCACCGCCACCCCCGCGTCGGCTGCAGGGCGCACTCCTCTTTCTGGAGACTCGAGCCCTCGACTACGCCGACACGTTCAACCTGCTCGTGCTGCCGTGCGTCAGTCCGTGGGGATACGAGAACGTCCAGCGGTGGACGCCAAACGCGGTCGACCCCAACCGCGCGTGGGGCGCGCTCGCGGCGGTCTCGTGCGACGAGGCCAACGCGGCGTCGGCGCTCGTCGCATCGCTGGGCGTCGAGAAGTGGAAGTGCCACATCGACCTGCACGAGACGACCAACACCGACGCCACCGAGTTCACGCCCGCCCGATGCGCGCGCGATGGGACCGCGTTCGAGGAGGACGAAATCCCCGACGGCTTCTATCTCGTCTGCGACAGCGAGAGGCCTCAGGGCGGGTGGGCGGCCGCGGTCATCGATGCGGTCCGAAAGGAGACGCACATCGCACCGGCCGACGCAAACGGCGAGATATGTGGCGAGTCAGTCAGCCAGGAGGGCGTAATCCTGGTCCCGTTCAAGAAGGTTGCGGTATGCGCGTGTATCGCCGACGCCGATTTCGCCACGACGACCGAGGTCTATCCTGATTCGGTCACATCAACCGCCGAAGAGTGCAACCGCGCGCAGGTGGCGGCGGTCAGCGGTGGGCTCGACTACATCCGGCGCAGCGCGCTCTGACTTCAGCGGTGCTCAGTGGGCCTCGGTGGTGCTCGAGGCGGCAGCGGCGCGCGGCGCGGGTTGTATTTCTTTCGCCTCTGCCTGTGATATCTCCGCCTGCACCTGCACGCCGACATGTGCAGCTCGTCCTCGCCGCCCTCGCGACGCCCTCGGTGCGGTCGGTGCTCGGCTCGCGGGAAACGCCGCCTCTCGCGCCCGGTAAGTAAAACACCACGCGCGCGACCGCACCACCGCGCACCGGCAGGACGATGAAGTCCGCTGCGCCGAGCTTCTTCAGTCTTCAGCTACCAAGACCATGGCCTACCTTGCCTCCGAGGAGGCGCGCGACCGCAACCCCGTAACCTTGCCCTTCCTCAAGCCGTGGCTGCGTCGCTGGTCGAGCACAAGGACAAGGAGCACATCACGACACCCAAGACGCCGCCTCCCAGCATCCGCGCCTTTACAAACGGAGCGGGGAACTGTGAAAATTCCGCTCGGCGTATCATTCTGAGCCGACTTTGATCTGCGAGTTCGCACCATTTTGCTTCGGTTGAGAAAAAAAGCCCGACGTCGAACGAATCGATGTTCTCCCTCGCACAGCCCCGCGAGGTGTTGTCATTCACCATATTACGCATTATGTGCAGAGAGGGGGAAGGGACACCGAGGTGCGCGAGGGACACGCCGGCCGGGGGGCCGCCGGGCGCTCGCGGCTCGGGCCAAAAGGTACAACGTTTAAGCGCGGGACCCTCTGCTCATGCTCCCTGGCCTTTGCCTCTGGGGGGCAGCGCTCTGGCACGCGCGTCACCTCGCTGCAGATGGTGCCCTTTTTGGTTCGGGTGAGGGGTGAACGAGTAAAATACATGAGCACATCGTCATAGTAAATCTGGGTCAAAGTACTCGTCCCGGTCCTGCGTGCAGAGCGAGAACCAGAGCACGATAGCGACCGGCCCCCACACGAGCCAGACGAAGGTGTCGCCGAGCTGGCCGAGCGCGAGGTCGACCTCGCCGAGCAGCCGCTGGTACGGCGGGGACAGCTCGCACAAGCAGAAGAGCGCCTTTGCGTCGAGCGGCTCCTCGGCCGGCCCGAGCAGCGCGGCGCCTACTCACACACCGAGCCGTGAAGAGGCGCTCCTCACAGGCACGCCGCCCGCCGCGCCTCCGCCCGCCGCGCCTCCGCCCGCCGCGCCTCCGCCCGCCGCGCCTCCGCCCCACTCGGACGCATTTGCCTCGCCGGCCTCCCACCAGCTGGAGCCGTAGCAGGCGCTGTCCACTGCCTCGCTCGGACGCGTCGAGCCTGAGCACGCCACGAGGCTGTGAACACGACGCTGTGAAGAGGCGCCCTTCACGTTGTGAACACGAGGCTGTGAAGACGAGGCTGTGAAGAGGCGCCCTTCACGTTGTGAACACGAGGCTGTGAAGACGAGGCTGTGAAGAGGCGCCCTTCACGTTGTGAACACGAGGCTGTGAAGACGAGGCTGTGAAGAGGCGCCCTTCACGCCTCCCTCGAGCCTCCCTCCCTCTCGAGATCTGGCCGAGGCGCGCGAGGGGGGAGGAGAAGAGAACACAGCCTCGGGCTGATCTCGCCTACCTCTCGGCTACCCCTCGCCGAGGTGCGCGAGGCAGTACCCGTTGACCAGCCGAGCAAAGCTCGTGCCTCCTCCTCCCGCCTCGCCTCCTCCTCCCGCCTCGCCTCCTCCTCCCGCATCGCCTAGCAGCGGGACCGCCGGGCAAAACACCGCGTAGCCCTCGTCCCCGCCGCCGCCCTCGCCGCCGCCCTCGCCGCCTCCGGCCGCCGCCCGGCCGCCCCGCCCGCTGCCTTGCACCAGCCAGCCCCGCGCCAGCTGCTCTCGCTGCGAGCTGTCCAGCTGCTCGAGGACCGCAGAGAGGGAGTGGAGGCCCCCGCCGCCGCACGAGGCCCACTCCTGCTCGTACACACCTACCTCGCAGAAGGGCGACTCCTCGCCGCCTCCTCGCCGGGACTCGCCACTCTCCTCTGGTCTCTCCGCACCGCGCATCCGCGCCCACTCGCCAGGGGTGCCTCCGTACTCGTACCGCGCCTCGTCCGTCAGCTCGAAGCGCGCCGCGCGGCCCTCCTCCATCTCGTCGTTCCACGAGCTCGCGTGCGAGCGCGTGAGCTGCGCGAGCGTGAGCGTCGAGGCCGACAGGCAGACGAGCACAAGAAATGTGATCCAGCGCTCGCGCGAGAGGTAGGCGACGATGGAGCCGGCGACGGAGATCGCCACGAGGGTGCCGCCCACCGTCTGCACCGTCTTAGAAAGCTGCGTCTCCTCCTGGAAGATCGCGGCGCCCTTGATGGCGCGGTGCGCCGCGTCGTCCGGAAAGAAGCCCGCCTCACCGCGAAAGAAGATGGAGGCGGCGTACAGGAAGAGGAGCGCACAGAAGAGCTGGATGGTGCCCTTGAGCGACGTGCCCTTGCGGCGAAACTCCATTTCTTGGGGTGTGCGGGCGTGTGCGGCTGGGTGGTGGTTGCGCACAAAAGGGCGGCCGGTGGGGGGTCTTCCCCGGGCAGGGTGGGCGAGCGGGCAGGCGTGCAGCGGGCGGGCGACAGACGACGACAACCGTCCGCTCCTCCCTGCCACCGCCGCCATGTTGCACGCCCCATGCAACATGCATCTTGCATGCGCCAAGCTCTCGTGTGTGTCTGTCACTCTCTGTCTTGCATATGGCTCGCCCTGTGACTGGCCCTCAGTCACTTGTGCTGCGGCTTGTGTGAGCGACACTGCTCGGCGACTGCCGGCACACTGCAGTGACACTCCCAGTGAGACCGTGCGTTTGGTGTAAGTGGTAAAAGCTAAAACCAAACGCCCAGCACTTGGCCACATTGGCCCTGGGAGGTCAGATCCTTCTCCTCTGTTGATGGTAACACTTGTCTACTCGCTGGAGCCGAGCAGGAGCAGGGCCCGGCGCACAACCCCTGGTCAACTCACCCTCCACGCCCCGTACAACAATCAACATCAAGAAAGCCCTGAGGTGCAGCAGCCCGCAGGAATCAGTGGACCATGCACAAACCTCCACCGTCCCGGATTCGCCTCTCTCCACTCTCAGATACGTTCGCACGCGACGACTAGGCGCATGGCAGCACAGTCCTGTGCACCCTTTCACCCTTGTCATCACTGCCCCGGCGCCCACGCCTCGACCTTCTTGGTCCGACAGGTCCTCTCCATGGCCTAGGCAGCCGTGTTCGCCCTCGCCCCAGGTAAAGAAGGCGCCGTCGGCGGTGACGGTGAGGCTGTGGTAGACCCCAGCTGACGTAGCGACGACGCGTCGGCCAGAAAAGGCCTGGATCTTCTTGGGCAGCAGCTGGTGCTGCGTGTCACCGTGGCCCAGCTGGCCATAGATTCCCCAGCCCCAGCTCCAGACAGCGCCGTCGGCGGTGAGGGCGAGGTTGTGGTTCTCTCCAGCCGACACAGCGATGACGCGCTGGTCAGCCAAGGCCTCAACCTTCTTGGGCAGCAGCTGGTCCTGCTCGTCGCCGTGGCCCAGCATGCCATCGCTTTCAGAGCCCCAGCTCCAGAGGGCGCCGTCGGCGGTAAGGGCGAGGCTGTGGCTGCCTCCAGCCGACACAGCGACGACGCGCTGGCCACTAAAGGCCTCGACCTTCTTGGGCAGCAGCTGGTGCTGTATATCGCCGTGGCCCAACCGGCCAGAGTCTCCCCAGCCCCAGCTCCAGAGAGCACCGTCGGCGGTAAGGGCGAGGCTATGGGACCATGCAGCCGACACAGCGACGACGCGCTGGCCAGCAAAGGCCTCGATCTTCTTGGGCAGCAGCTGGTCCTGCTCGTCGCCGTGGCCCAGCATGCCATCGCTTCCAGAGCCCCAGCTCCAGATGGCGCCGTCGGCGGTGATGGCGAAGCTGTGCGCCCATCCAGCCGACACAGCGACGACGCGCTGGTCAGCAAAGGCCTCGACCTTCTTGGGCAGCAGCTGGCCCTGCTCGTCGCCGTGGCCCAACCGGCCGTCGCCTCCAAAGCCCCAGCTCCAGACACCGCCGCTGGTGAGGGCGAGGTTGTGCACATCTCCAGCGGAGACGCTCACGGCGCGCTCGCCTCCCAGCGTCGAGGGGAGGCGGGTCGGCGTGTTGAGCTGCGTCACGCCCTCGCCGTGGCCAAGGAGGCCTGGGGCCCCCTCGCCGCCGCACGACGAGAGCCGCCCCTCGCCGTCGATGAAGACGCTGTACTGATAGCCTGCCGCCGCCCTCACCGGCGGGTTGGCCTCGCGCAGCAGCGCAGAATAGCACAGCCACCGCACGGCGCAGCCCTCGTCCTCCGGCTGCGCCGGCAGCTCGAATCCGCGCTCTTGCACCCACAAGCGGATGCCCTCCAGCGCAAGCGAGGCGTGGAAGAGGAGCGAGACGGCCGCGACTCGTGCGATGTCGGCGGGGTCGCAGTGAGAGAGGGCGCGCACGAGGAGCTCCGTGGGGAGGTCGAGGAGGCGGGTGGGCGGCGGCGTGTCTGGCGAGGGAGCAGCGGTGGAGGCGGAGGCGAGGCGGCGCGAGCGGCTGCGCGGTTGGGTGGACATGTATATATGTCCCGAGGGAAAGAAAAACACACGTCGCGAGAAAAAGAAAACTCGGTGGCCCACATGTTCGTGAGGACAGCACTGGAAAGCGTCGATTCCGATGGTACGGGACCCCTCGGTCGTCTCGCCCTCCCTCGCTGGTTGGACAACAAACACGGTACAGGATGGAGGACGGCACACGCCAAAAGAAAGAAAGAAAGAAATCAGACAAGCAGCGAGAGAAAAGAAGAAAGAAAACAGACAACCAAGGAGGACCCTATAGAGCTCTACCTACGAAGGACGAAAGCAGCGTTGCTTTTGCGGCCCGACGATGACAAGCACAAGGTGGCCCCTTTTTTGAGTCTGGAATTTGGGTTTCACTATACCCGCGGTACCTCCGAGATCGCTCTCTCTATTGCGTGCCATCTTGACGCCGCCGCCGCGCGGCATTGGGTCTGCACGGATCGAGATGCGGCGCGAGACCCGCAAGTGCCCGTCGGGTCCGAAGCCCCTCGGGGATGACGACCTCCGCCACCCATCGCCCTCGCTCGACTCCCGCCTTGATGGTCAGGGCGACCATCCGAACAGTCGAGCCCGGCTTGGAAGTGATCGAAATGCCGATGTCCTCCACTTTCAGCGTAGCCACGCCGAGCAGGCCGTTGTTCGCATCGCGCATCGGCGAACCCCTTGGTCAGCACATCCTTGAGTGCCTCGGTCGTAAAGGTCGAGTCGCACTGGTACAGGAAGCTCTGCGCGACGACGGCCGCGCCTATTTGCAGATTTCTTTTTTGGACCGTCGCGTTTTTCTTTTTGCGGTGTGGAAGCTGGCGGCAGCGGAGGGACTGGAGCACATCGTGCGGATCGACACCGATTCGAACCTGCCGTGCGGCGAGCGCGCTAGCGCCGCCGGCAGGGCAGTCAAGCTGCTGTCGCTGATGCGTGAGCACAACCTAAGCTACGGCTTCTACCACCGTAACTGGGAGTCACCGGACTTTGCTATCGGCTTCAACGCGGCTGCCAGGCGACACGTCGAGACCGCACGCCTCAGCCTAGCAAACACCTTTGGTGGGTACACCACGTTCGGCAGCCGCGAAAAAGGCAGCGGCAAAATCTTTGAGCTCGGTCGCTCTGACTACGAGCCGGCGCGCTTCTTTTACAACAATGTGGAGGTGGCGCGCGTCAGCCACTTCCAGCGGCCCGACGTGCAGGCCTTCACGCGCGCTATACGCCGGAGCGGCGGCATCTTCCGGCACCGGTGGGGCGACGGCACGCGATCGTGCGCTACATGCAGGTGGCGCTTTTCGCGCGGCCGGAGGAGGTGCGGTGTCTCACTTCGGAGCTGCTCGCCTACTGCCACGCGGGCTGCTGCGTCGGCCTGACCGGCGACGACGGCAACGAGGCTGTCTGCTGCGACCCGTGTCTGCAGCGACCAGCGTGGCCATCGTGCGCAAACAGATTCCCTCCTGGGTGGACGCGGAGGGATGTTGCCTGGGCATGAAGGAGAGCTGCTACCGATGACACCCAGCCTTCCCGTTCTCGTAAACAAGGAAACAAAAGGTGAACCGTGCCCCGTCTGATTTTTCTTCTTTTTGCGGGCTCGAAAGATTCGGTAGATCCAGGTTATAATGAACCGATAAAGGGTGTGGATGCTGGGTTGAACAAAATCGGAGGACCGCGACCCACCTCGCCACAGACGGTCCCGCGCCTCGCCGCTATGACGGCGGCACGGCCGCAGCTCATGTGCGTGCCGCCGTCTTTGTCCGGAGTGAATACTCCAACGCGCTCGTCGGTGACGGTGTCCTCCAACCTGCGCCGCGCTCGGCGAACCTCGACAGCGCCTTCGGTGGCATGCAGCTCTTTGCGACAGAAGCCTGGAGAGCAGCTCCTCTGCTGCTCACACACTCTGCACAGCTGACACAGCCTACTGTGCGGCTGCCACAGCTGTGACAGCGATGGGCTCGCCCTCACTGGCCCTCAGTCACTTGTGCTGCGGCTTGTGTGAGCGACCGCAGTGAAACCACCCCGGGGCCAACCCGCTTCGGTTTCGTCGCCAAGAGTGTACTCTTGGGCCCCGAACCCGAATAAAAAAACGTGCACCCCCTTCGAGTGTATCTTGAGTGTTGCTGTGGAGCGTCCGGTTTCAACACGCGCTCGCGCGCTCGCTTCTGCTGGCGCCCAGAGAACATGTTGCACCACAAGCGGCTCCCGGCGGAGCCCAACTGCTCGCACTCGACAAGGCAGTCCATCCACTCGCGGCAGCTGAAGTCGAACTTCCACTCGATACGGCTCGCGCCGGATTGTGAGCTCGGCGAGCGAGGTCGGAGAGCGACCTTCAGTTGGCCCAAGCCGCACGCCACTGAGGCAGAGCGGCCGTGCGCGTACGGCGCCGTACGCGCACGGCCGCTCTGCACCGACCGCAGCGCTGCGTTGCGACCGCAATGGCTCAGCTCAGCCAGGGCTAGCTCGCCCGAGCTCGGAGCCGCCGGCGGTCATGGCAGCAACAAAGGTTTGACGGGTCGCTCGGTGCAGGAGGGCACTGCAGTAGAGGTGCAGAGGCCGTCCGGCGCGCGCGCGATGGGCTACAGCTTCATTGGCAGCTACCAGAGCGCGTCTGGAGCGCTGCCGTTGTGTGACCCACGTCCAAGCGGCGCTTCCGGCCTGAAACGCGCCTCTTTTTACGCTTTTCATTGGAGAGGGGGGGACGAGGTCTCATCAACTTCGAAACCGCCTTTGAAAGGGGGGAAATGCGTCCGTCCCTGAGCGGGTTGGGAAGGGGGCGGTTTCACTGCGCACTGCTCGGCGACTGCCGGCACACTGTGATACCATGGGTGTGAGGTAAAACCACGCTACCAGCGCTTGGTCACATCGGCCCCGAGGTCAGATCCATCTACTCTGTTGATGACAAGACTTGTCTACCGGCTGGAGCAGAGCAGGAGGGCTTGGCGCACAACCCCTGTTCAACTCACCCTCCACACCCCGTATATGACTCTGAAAAATTGCCAAAAGAGCCCCCCCCCCCCCAACGGGGTCTGATGTGGAGGGTGGAGAGCGCGCTGACCCCTGGGCATGGCCCCTCTGGGCATGAGCTGGGTCGGCCTCCTCCTGGTCTGCAACTCGCGCAGCGGGGGTCCGCGTTGCCGGCGGGCTGTTCTACTCGCAGCCGTACTCATCGCCACCCCGCGCAGACGCCACAGCGGGCCCGCCGGGGCTAGAGGCCCGCCAGCTGCGCGGCATCCGACGAGCTGGCCGCCAACGGGCGCACCGGGCTGCAAAATTTGGTGCGCGCTCACTGGTTGGGTAGTAGTCTAAGTTCTGAGCCTCGCGGCTTAACGGGTCTAAGTGTGGCTAGCCACGCTGGAGTGCTTACGCGGTCTAAGATCAGCGGGAGCCTCTTACACCGGCTAAGTCGGCCATGGCACGCGATATACGGCGCTCGCGCCCAAATTTTCTTCGCCTGCGCGGCGGGCGATCGATCCTCCTCATGCTCAGCAATCGCCGCCTCAGCATCCTCCTCTTCCGATTCTCGTTGCTGCTTCTTGAGCGCACTTCGGCGACATCTAGCCAAATAGTTCTCACAAATAGCCTCAAGCTCAAACAAACGCATGTCAGAGAAGCCTGTGTATGCTGGTCCTCTTTGAACGATCCGCGCGTGAGGTAGCATAGGGCCTTGTTGGCAGCAGCCAGCTTGTTGCGCTGCTTCGTTGCGATGAGCTGATTGGGATCGCAGAAGTGCATGCCAAGCACCGCCACGATCTTGAAGCAGAACACATCGCAACCGCATCGTCCGCACTGCCATCGGCATGCCGCGCCCGCCGCTTCGCCGCAGCCGCCTTAAGGCACGCATAGCGGCAGCACATGGTACGGTGCGCGTACTTGAGCAGGCGTTGCGCGCCGCAAGTAGCGCACTGGCCCTGGGAGACGGCGATATGGCGTCGTGCGCGGCATACGCTGGTCGGGACCGCGTCCAGGTATTTTTCGGGTAAACCTGGACTTTTGCAGGTATACCCGGGTTTTACCCGGAGTTGGCCTCGTGTCGTCTAAGTTCATGGCCCCCGGCCTTCCAGCGTCTAAGTCTGAGCCCGGCTCCGTGCGGGGGCTAAGTTGAGCGCTCGCTCGCTGCAGAGGCTAAGTGTAGAGCGACCCTCTAGCCCTACTACCCAACCATTGCGCGCTCAGGATGCCCGCCCTGGAGCACGAGGTGCAACTGGAAAAGTTTCCAGTCTCACTTGGATGCGTACGACGTGTCGCTCACAGGACGCCGTGTGCTTCCCTCGCGAGAGCCTCGTACGGTCGTATACGTCGCTCCCGCGTCACAACTGTGAGGCACAGTCCGCATGCACCCCTGGGATGCGAGAGATGGGGCGCGATTACGAGCCTGGTCACGCTGCCTTCCGCGCCCCGTCCCAGTCCCGGATCATCCGGCGCAGCATGTGGTGCGGGAAGAGGCTAGTGTTCTCGAGCTCGCCGCCCGTCATCGGGCTCGTCGACTTGGTCGCGAGCCAGCGCTCGATCGCCGTCCGCTCGTAAGCATGCCCATCCGCCGCCATCACCGGGTCGCTCATGACCTCGGTCGTGATCGGGCAGACGAAGTCGGCTGGTGGCTCCTCCTCCTCCTCCCCCGAAGGCGGCCTCTCTGCAGCCAAAGAGCACGACACCTGCTTGTCGGGCGCCCGCCTCTCCTCCAGCCTCACGCTCTCCTCGAGCGCCGCCGCCAACTCCGCCTCCTCCTCCGCCGCCAGCGCTGCAACATCCTCGGGCTCCCGCGACGGCCCAGCGCCGCCTCCGCCGCCCTTCCCCTTCTTCTTCTTCTTGCCCTTCTTGCTCTCCTTGGCGCGCTCCGCCTCCTTCTCCGCCTCCTCCTCCGCCAGCAGCGCCTCGGCATGCCGCGCCGCCTCCGCCTCTGCCACCGCTCTCTCCGCCTCCCTCGCTGCTGCCTTCTCCGACGCCTCCGCCGCCGCATGCTCCTCGATGACGCGCACGCACTCGGCGTTGCCCTCCTCCTTGGCCATCTGCAGCGCCGTCTTGCCGCTCGCAGAGCACAACGCCGCGTCTGCGCCCGCGCGCAGCAGGTAGAGGACGACGGCGAAATGGCCGTTGTCGGCGGCGCACATCAGCGCGGTGACGCCGTCGCTGCTCTGCAGGTTGATCTCCGCGCCGCGCTGCAGCAGCAGCAAGTCGACCACCCGCTCGTGGCCGTAGCCGGAGGCGTACATCAGCGCGGTGTTGCCGTTGCTGTTCTGCAAGTCGATCTCTGCGTCGTGCAAAAGCAGCAAATCGACCACCCGCTCGTGGCCATTAGTGGCGGCAAGCATCAGAGCGGTGATGCCGCTCACATCGTCTTCGTCTACCGCGCAAGTCGCGTTGACCCGCCCGCCGCTGTCAAGCCACGCCAGCAGCGCCGCCTCTTCGCCTCGCGCAGCCGCCTGCCTGGCCTCTTCGGAAAGGCTGCCCGGTGAGCCGGAAGAGGCCGCGGCCCTCGCTCCCGCCGCCGCCTCGCCCGAGGAAGCGCCGCCCGCACTGCCCGCCGCCTCGCGCTGGGCCGCAGTCACCTCCTCGATGTGCTGCCGGAAGGCGCCGACGCAGGCGGCGTGACCCTCCTCCTTGGCATACTGCAGCGCGGACTTGCCGTCGTCAGAGCGCAGCGCCGCGTCTGCACCCGCGCGAAGCAAGCGGAGGACGACGGCGGGGCAACCTTCGCCAGCGGCGCACATCAGCGCGGTTTCGCCGTTGGCGTCCTGAAAGTCGATCTCCGCGCCGCGCTGCAGCAGCAGCTCGACCACCCGCTCGTGGGCTTGGCTGGCGGCGTCCATCAGCGCGGTGCCGCCGTTGCCGTCCTTCAAGTCGATCTCCGCGCCGTGCAGAAGCAGCAGCTCGACCGCCCGCTCGTGGCCGTTGCTGGCGGCGAGCATCAGCGCGGTGTTGCCTCTGCAGTTCTGCAGGTTGATATCCGCGCCGCGCTGCAACAGAAGATCGACCACCCGCTCGCGGCCGTTTACGGCGGCGATGATCAGCGCGGTGCCGCCGTTGCCGTCCTGCTTGTTGATCTCCGCGCCGCGCTGCAACAGAAGATCGACCACCCGCTCGTGGCCATGCTGGGCGGCGGCCATCAGCGCGGTGCCACCTCTGCAGGTCTGCAAGTCGATCTCTGCGCCGCGCTGCAGCAGCAAGTTGACCACCCGCTCGTGGCCCTGGCTGGCGGCGCACATCAGCGCGGTGCTGCCGTCGCTGGCCTGCAGGTCGACCTCCGCGCCGCGCTGCAGCAGCAAGTCGACCACCCGCTCGTGGCCTTGGCCGGCGGCGACCGTCAGCGCGGTGCCGCCGCTGCTTAACTGCAAATCGATCTCCGCGCCGCGCTGCAGCAGCAGCTCGACCGACGGCTCGCGGCCGTTGCCGGCGGCGAGCATCAGCACAGTGACGCTGCTCATCTCGCCCTCCCCGCAAGTCGCGTTGACCCGCCCGCCGCTGTCGAGCCATGCCAGCAGCGCCGCCTCGTCGCCTCGCCCAGCCACTAACGCCTCTACGCGTGTTGGCGCCTTCTCTGGCATCTCCGGCGCCCAGAGAGGCAATAGGGGGAGAAAAGGCGCTCTGTAATGTATTAGAGGCTGCCGTGGGGACGCGGGGTGGATGGGGTGGGTGGGTGGGTCCTCGCCTCAGCCGGGCCGTGGGGTGGGGGGTTGAAGGAGAAAAACGCCCCGCAGGCGCTGCTCGCCGCCTGCTGGCTCAGCTCGGCGTAGGCAGCAGGCCGCGAGGATGGTGGAGCTCAACCTCTACATGGAGCACCCTGCCGTCACGGCGATGAGTGCCGACGAGGCGGCCGCCTGGCGCCGGAAGCACCGCGTGCAGGTCTCGGGCGGCACCGCGCCCAAGCCGGTCCGCACATTTCTCGAGGCGGCGTTCCCCGAGTTCCTGACGGCCGACATCGAGGCGACAAACTTCCGCGCGCCGACGCCGATCCAGAGCCAGTGCTGGCCCGTCGCGCTCAGCGGGTGCGCCGCCCGCGCTCGCCGCCGCCGCCACTGCGCACGCACCGCGCACGGCACCCGCGCCTTCGCGGCGCGAGTCACTTCGCGGCGCGTCGAGTCCGTGCACACCGCGCGCCGCAGGTGCGACCTCATCGGCCTCGCGGCGACCGGCTCGGGCAAGACCCTCTGCTTTGCGCTGCCCGCGATCACGCACATCGTCGCGCAGCCGCGGCTGCAGCCGGGCGACGGTGCCATCGCGCTGATGCTGGCGCCGACGCGCGAGCTGGCGCTGCAGATCAAGGGCGAGTGCGACGCGTTTGGAGGGCCGAGCGGCGTCACAAACACCGCCATCTACGGGGGCGTGCCAAAGGGGCCGCAGCAGCGCGACCTCCAGCAAGGCGTCGGGAGAGATCGTGATTGCGACGCCAGAGGCTCGAGTGGGAGCAGCGACTCTTCACGGGTGTGTAGCGGAGAGTAGGGGTCGAGATCGTGATTGCGACGCCCGGCCGGCTGCTCGACTTTATGGAGGCTGGCGTCACCAACCTCCGCCGCGTCTCCTTCCTCGTCCTCGACGAGGCGCGAGATGCAGCCGAGATGCAGCCGAGATGCAGCCGAGATGCAGCCGAGATCTAGAGCCGAGATGCAGCCGAGATGCCGCCGAGATGCAGCCGAGATGCAGCCGAGATCTAGAGCCGCGATCTAGAGCCGCGGTCCCTTCTCCTTCCTCGTCCTCCGACGAGGCTGGGCCGCATACTCGGCTGCCGGCTGTGAGCACTCCCGACTGTGAGCAGCCTCTCTTCACACCTCCGACTCAGGCGGACCGCATGCTCGACCTCGGCTTCGAGCCTCAGCTGCGCCGGATGGCGGCGCAGCTCCTTCCACAGAGGCAGACCCACCCCCTCTTGTCGGCGACCGGCACGACCCTTCTCGGAACCGTCTCGGCACCTCCCCCGCAGGCAGACCCTCCTCTTCTCGGCGACCTGGCCGCGAGAGGTCGCCTCCCTCGCACCCTCCTGCGACCCCGTCTGGCCACCACCAGCGTTTACTGGTGCGTGACGCGACACCAGGTCGCATCTCTCGCCCGCACCATCCTCCGCGCCGACGCGCTCACCGTGCAGGCGGATGCCGCGCCTGCCATGCACAATGCTGTGCACTGTGTGGCATCAGGGTGTGATGTCGCTCGTCCAGGCGGACGCCGCCGCGGAGCTGCGCGTTGCCGACACCATCGAGCAGCACTTCGAGGTGTGCGACGGGGCGGAGCGGCTCGGCGAATCTCGGCGAATCTCGGCGAAGCTCGGCGAATCTCGGCTGAGCTCGGCGAATCTCGGGCGAAGCTCGGCGGAGCTCGGCTGAGCTCGGCGGATCTCGGCGAAGCTCGGCGAAGCTCGGCTGATCTCGGCGAAGCTCGGCGAAGCTCGGCGAAGCTCGGCGAAGCTCGGCGGAGCTCGGCTGAGCTCGGCGAGTCTCACAGGTGTGCGACGAGTCGGAGCGGTTGGGCCGCTTCCTGCGGCTGCTGCCGCAGGTGAGCGAGAATGGGCAGGCGCGCGTCATCGTGTTTTGTGCCGCGCGGTGAGGGGCTAGCCGAGACCTAGTCGAGACCTAGCCGAGACCTAGCCGAGACCTAGCCGAGGTGCGGCCGAGCTGCGGCCGAGCTGCGGCCGAGCTGCGGCCGAGCTGCTGGCGCGGGCGGTCCCTCCGAGGCGCGAGGCGCGCCTGTTCACGGCAGCCTGTTCACGGCAGTCTGTGAACACCAGGCGCGGCTGCGAGGCGATCCGCAACGAGGTGCGGCGGCGCGGCATCGGCGCGGAGGCGCTGCACGGCGACAAGTCGCAGCACGAGCGGGACTGGGTGCTGCAGCAGTTCAAGCAGGGCGCGGCGCCGGTGCTGGTGGCGACCGACGTGGCCTCGCGCGGGCTCGACGTGCAGGACGTGCGCGCCGTGGTCAACTACGACGCCCCCTCGCAGGCGGAGGACTACGTGCACCGCGTCGGCCGCGCGGGCCGCGCCGGGGCGAGCGGGCGCGCCTACACGCTGCTCACCTCGGCCAACGCGGCCTTCGCGCGCGAGCTCGCGGCGATGCTGCGCCGGCAGGGCGCGCGCGTGCCGCAGGAGCTCGGCTGGCTGGCGAGCAGCACGCGCGGCGGGGAGCAGTCCCACCGCCGCTGGAGGTCGGACGACCGCGGGCACGACCGGCGCTGAAGCGCCCCGCCTGAGCCGCGCCAATAGATAGTCTCGTAGAGCGAATACGGTTTGTCGCTGGGGGGGGGGGGGGGGGGGGAGAACAGGCCCTGCCCGGGGCCCGGCCCCTAAAGCTCCAGGTTATGAGGTAAGGCCCAGGGTGTGGCCTTGCCCGCGGGGCTATAAACCCAGGGGGAAAAAAAACAAAAGAACTCTCTCTCACAGCAGACAGGCTCGACAAAGTGCGAACTGGCGCGTGCTACTCTGCTGGAGGAATGGTTGGGCAAGTTACTCAGGACACGACCCCGGCGTGAATACGACTAACTGACGGATCCGCTCCTGACAGTGGCATGCACCGCGCTGCGGCGCGTGCCACTGTCTTTGTTTGAAGTTAAAAGTCGAATCAGAGCGGTGTCGGCGTTGTCCTGAGTTTTCTCCCCCGGACCGCCCAACCGGGACCGCTCCGGGACGCACGCCGGCGAAGCACCATCAAGCTGCTGTACGGCCCCGGAATCGCCTCCCCTGGCTTAGCTAGACTGAGAGATATTGTGCACATGGTCAGTCTCTACAATGTATACACTGACACTGAACCTCCCAGAGCTCGTCCCGGTCCGCCACGGCCATCCTCGGCCTCCGGAGGGCCCCCGGCCGCGGCGCGGTGCGGCGGCGTCACAAATCCGACCACAGAGCACCGGGACGCGGTCGGGCGATCTGAGGCCCAACTAGGCGTATGCATTGCCCATCCAGGGCTATCACCTGGACCCATCAACAGGCGCCTGCGGCGCCGTGGTCACGAGCTGCTGTTCACACCTGCCCTACCATTCATGCATAGGGAAAAAGAATCCCGCCGTGCACATTTGGCCGGTTGCTGGGAATGGTACCCACCAAGCAGACAGCACGCAAGTCGACCGGCGGCAAGGCGCCCCGCGGGCAGCTCGCCACCAAGGCGGCGCGCAAGTCGGCCCCCGCCACCGGCCCGCTGCGCTTGGTTCTCGAATCGCCCAAATTGAAGGAGAATGCATGCGAGATGTGGACGCGGCAGCAGCAAGGCGAGTTCACCGACGCCGTCATCAATGTGCAGCACCGCGCCTTTCAAGTCCACCGCGTCGTGCTCGCTTCTGCCTCGCCGTACTTTCAGAAGCTCTTCAGTTGCGGCATGCAGGAGAGCAACGCCTGCAGCGTCACGCTGCCCGACATTACCGCCGACATCTTTGAAGCCGTGCTCCGCTTCATGTACATGTCGGAAGTGGAGCTCCCGATCGAGGATGCAGACATGCTTCTCGAGATGCTTCTCGAGCTCGTGCAGGCGGCGGCGTATTTCCAGGTGACGCCGCTGCTGAAGACTGTCGAGTCGGAGCTTTGCGGCCAGGTGAACGCTTCGAATGCCCTGCAACTGCTGACCTTCGCAGACACCTACGAAGTGCCGCAGCTTTACGCCAAGGCGCTACGCGCGGCGCGGCGCGACCTCGAGCTCGTGGCCACCCAACCGGCCTTCAACGCCGTGTCGCTGCCACGGCTGCTCTCGCTCCTCATGTCGGTGCGCGCACCGCGAGGCTTCGACATCGGCGTCACGCAGTCCGCGGTGACTTGCTGGGCCCGCGCCAAACGGCTTGAGAACGTCGACACGTTGGCCGTGCTGCTCGCCACGACGAGTGTGCGTGGCGAACGCGCTGCGGTCGTCGACGGGCGCATGTTCGTCCTTCGAGGTTGCGTTTCCATTTCAGTCTCCGAGGGCGAGGCCGCGCCTCGACTTGAGGCCGCGCCTCTCTTGCTGCGCGCATTCGATCCGGCGATGGGCACGTGGCAGCCGTCGTCGTCGTGGCAGTCCGCTGAGGCGGCCGCTGGTGAGGACCTCATCGCAGGTGGCTCCTTCATGCCGGCCCTCGTCGCGCTCAACGGCAACCTGTACGCCGTCAACGCCGGCCTTCGCTCGCAAAAGCGCTTGCTCTTTCCCACGCCGAACACGCACCCACCCGAGACCACCGACGAGCTCGCTGCCATGCGCGTGTTCATCCCGGCGCCCCCGATTCCTTGGGACCGCGCTGGGTCGCTGCCCGGAAGGTGGGAAAACGCTCCGCCCATCCCTTTGGGCCGCAGCAACGCTGTGGTTGCGAGCTTCGGCGCGACGCTGATCGTGGCTGGCGGGCTGAGCCGCAGCAGCGCCGACGGCGACACCTTCGAGTGCCTCGCCCGCTGCGACATCTTCCACCCCGACCGCGGTGCATGGGTCGAAGGCCCGGCCATGCTCGAGCCTCGGTGCGACGCTGCTGCCGTGGTGTTCGATGGCGCTCTGTACGTCATCGGCGGGGCCAGCTCAAACGGCCAGCCACTCAGCACGGTCGAGAAGCTGACGATGGACGGCGGCTGGCAGCCGGCACCGTCGCTGAAGCAAGCGCGCCGCAACGTAACGGCCTTTGTCTTCAGCGGCTCGCTCTTTGCCGGCAGCTACTCGACTGTGCTGAGTGGCAGCTACTCGCCGGCCGTTGAGAAGCTGCTGCCCTCCGGCGAGTGGGTGGTCCTACCCGAGCATGCCACGGCAGGCGGCGGTGCCAGCGTGGGCTCAAGCTCAGCCGGCGGCGCGCAGATTGCCGAGAGCGCGCATAATGTGCGCGCCGCTGACCGGCGCTGCAACTACATGCGCAGCCTGGACGGCACTTGCTTCGACATCGCCTACCCCACCATCCCGATGGATTGGGCGGCGCGTATCGCGCCGTACGATGTGCTCTACGTGGCGTCGGCCGGCAGCGCAGGCGAGGGCCTCTTCACGAGTGCGCCGCTCGCGGAGGGGCACCTCATCGAGCTGACGGGCCGCCTCATCGAGACGGCCGAGGCCGAGCGCGCGTACGCCTCAAGCTTTCTTGAGAAGTACGCTGTGGCCTTGGACGAGAGCGGGGAGAGCTGCAAGTGGTATCTCGTGCCCGAGCCCAACGGCGGCGGCCTCGCGCTCTACTTTGCCAATTGCGGCGACGAGCAGACACCCTGCAACTGCGAGATCGTGACGTTGGCAGCCGCGGGGTGCGCCGTCCCGCACGTGCGCCTCTTCCTTCGCACGCGGGCAATCGCGACCGACGAAGAGCTGCGCTGGGACTATGGTCCGCAGTACAACCGCAGCTGGCTCGCCAAGAAGGCGAGGAACTGAGGTCGGAGTCACGGCATGAAATCCGGCTGTGAGGGCGGAGCATGAGCGCGGCGAACACTGCGAGGCAGCCTCTGAGCGCCTCGTCTGACTCACCACGCAGCGAGGCGCAGGCCGCCTGTCCATTACGCTTGCGTGGGATATTGTCTCTCTCGGAGAACAGGGCCCTGCATGTGCCCCACTCTGTTGCGCGCGCGGGCGCGTGCAGGCGTGAGTTCATGATACTTATCAGGATGGGTACGCCGTGGGGATCAGAATCAGATTTTTGACTGAATCACAAAGTGAGATTAGTGCTCCTAGCACTGCGACCATCTTCGCGACGCACACAGGAATCAAGATTGTAGATTCACATAAGTCCATCACATGCACATCAAACATGCACACACATGCACACATATGCAGCCTGTACCCCCGTGTTGGGGTTGACCCTGCTGTACCTGCAACATACGCCTCTCTCTCATACTCATCACTCCTCCTCCTCCCCGGCCGCCTCCGGCCGCCCCAGCACCATCTGCGCTCTCCGCTGCGTCTCGTCCCGCACCCGCAGCCGCTCCTCGTGCGCCGCGCGGATGCGGGCGACGCGCTCCAGCGCCGAATTCTCGCGCGAGGGCCCCGGTGGAGGGGCTCGGTGCGCCGAGATGGGCTGGGCCGGGCCAATGCGTTGCGAGGCCCTCACGGCCATGGCCGCTCGTCGCAGCGCCTCGGTCGGGGGCGGCGGCGGAGCCCTGTAGGCCCTCGCCGGAGCGTCCGCAGCGTCGGCAGGGCCGGTGTCGTCGCTGGCGGGGGCAACCCTCGGGTCGGGTGGCATCGGGGCGTCGCGAGTGTGAGCGGGCAGCGGCTCCACCGCCGCCTCTCTGAGGTTTCGTGCCGCATTCAGCTTGGACAGCGCCATCTGGAACCGTGCGGACGAGTCGAGCTCGGCTCGCAGCCGCTCGTTCTCCGCCTTGAGCTCCTCCATCTCCTGGCGCGACTTCTGCTCCATGAGCTTTGCTTGGGTCGCGGCGCGCTCGGCCATGCGCTCCTCGACCCAGCTCACGGACCGCTTCAGGCCGCCCGGCTCACCACCCTTGCCGGGGAGATCTTCCATCGTCCACCTGGAGTGCGAACGCAAAGAGTGGTGGGGTGCATGGACAAATACAGGCTAGCCACAGCGTGAGTGCGTTAGGGTGGCACGATGCCGCATCTAGGCTGGCCGCCGCGCCGAGCTCGACGTCCACGTGCTCGGGCAGCGGAGAGTAAGGTGGCTGCGGCGGCCAGACGGGTGGCGGCGTCGGCGGCGGCGGCGGTGGGCGCGCTGGTGGTGGCGCCCGAGGCGGTGGGCGCATCGGCGGTAGTTGTGGCGGTGGAGTGGTGGGAGGTGGGCTGTTGGGTGGCGGTTGGGAGGGAGGCGCGCCGGGAGGGTGCGGTGGTGTAGCAGGAGGAAACGGAGGGTGTGGTGGGACAAAGGGTGGGTTAGGTGGCGCAATAGGAGGCTGTGGTAGGAATGGCGGCGAGGGCGGCGGTGTGGGTGGTGGGGAAGGAGGGTGGGGAGAGGGCGGCGGCGGCGAGGGTGGCGGCGGCGAGGGCCGCGGGGGTGACGGTGGCAGAGAGGGCGGTGGGAGCGAAGGCGGCAGAGGCAAGGGCGGTGGTGAGGGTGGGGGTGGCGAGGGTGGCGGTGGGGAAGGTGGCGGTGGCGAGGTTGGGGGCGAGGGTGGCGGCGGCGAGGGTGGTGGTGGGGAAGGTGGTGGGTGCGACGGCGGCGGAGATGGCGGCGGCGGCGAGGGCGGTGGCGGCGAGGGTGGCGGCGAAGGTGGTGGCGGCGAGGGCGGTGGCGGCGAGGGTGGCGGCGAGGGTGGTGGCGGCGAGGGCGGCGGCGGCGAGGGTGGCGGCGAGGGTGGTGGCGGCGAGGGCGGCGGCGGCGAGGGTGGCTCGACGGCTTGAAGCCGCCTGCTCGGACTCCAGACGGGCGCCACTGTCACAGAGACGCTGATACCCCACACCGGAGCAAGCTCACACGGGGAAACCCCAGGGGAGAAGGGCGGGTATGGTGGCGGGACTGGCGGAGGCGGGATTGGGGAGGGCGCTGGAGGCGCCGCTGGGGGTTGCTGTGGCAAGGGTGGCGGCGACGGTGGCGAGAGAGGGGGCGGCGACGGTGGAGGCGATGGGGGTGGGAATGGCGGCGGTGATGGCGGCGGCGGTGAGGGTGGCGGCGAAGACGGCGGCGGGCTCGAGGGTGGGGGTGAGGAGGGGTGTGGGGGCGATGGCGACGGCGGTGATGATGGCGGCGGCCTAGAAGGTGGCTGAAAGGGCGGAGACGGCGAGGATGGTGGCAGAAAGGGTGCCGATGGAACGGCGGGCGGCGAAGGTACAGTCGGCGGCAATGGCGGTGGAGAGAGCGGCGGCAGAAAGGGCGGCGACGGCGGCGGCGGAGGCCCAGCGCAGCACTCAAACTCAAGGTCGAAGTCCCACCCGGCCTGGGGCCAAGGGGCCACCTCGCCATCGCCGGTGACGCGTGTCGCATCGGTGCGCGACACGACGACGCTGAAGTCGTGTGTCCCTCCGGTGTGTGACAGTGCAAAGGTCTCTGCGGTCGTCCGTGTATTGATCCAGTTCGTCGCATTGACCACCTCTGGGCATAGCAGGTCGTCCCGCCCATCAGGCATAGGCACAGTGACGGGGCCCAGCGTTCGTGATCCGACGCTGACGGTGATGCAAACTGGCGGGGGCGTGGACGGTGGCGTTGGCGGGAGCAACGGCGGTGGCGGCAATGGTAGTGGCGCGTATGGTGTGGGCGGTTGCCGTGGTGGTGGCGGCGAGGGGGGCGGCGGCGAAGGGGGCGTGGGTGACGGCGGTGCCCTCGGCGGTGGTGGCGCCCTCGGAGGCAGGAAAGGCGGCCTTGGCTGCAAAGGAGGTGGTGTTGGCGGTGGTGAAGGGCACTCGTCGTGCGCCCACTCTGCCACTGCGCCAGTACCATCAACTGCCGATGCGAGGGCCTCGGCGAGTAATGTGCCGTCAGCGCGGGCGAGGAGAGAGTACGCGCAGCGCACGCAGACGCTCGTAGTGGTCGATGAGAGGTTCGTGCGAAGGGCATCGAGCAGCGCAGGTGGCATGAAGCTTCCGTCGCTGACAACGCCAAAGTAGACGACGCTGTCGCTGGGGAAGCCGCCAAGTGTGGAGAGGAGAGCGAGGGCGTCGCTCTCGATGGCCCCGTAGCAGTAATCCCAGTCCGGACCGCCTCCGTTCCCCTTACAGCCTGGAATCTTCTCTCCGTTGTCGCGCTGGAAACACCGCAGGCCAGAGCCACATTGACCGTCGTTGTCACACTCGCCGGTGCACGCCTGCAGCCCGGTGGCCGAACCGTCGTTGCTGCCCGACAGCTCGATCTCGGCGGTGATCGATGCCTGGGCAAGTGCCAATCCTGTCGTCCGATCCAGGACAGTGACGTGCGCCGAGGCTGCTTCGGGATCCACCATCCCAGAGACGCTATGCACGGTCAGCCCGTTGCGCTCAAACTTGAGCATCGGATAGCCGCGAACGTTGAGGCCGTGGTAGTAGCCTTCGCTGGTGACCTTGAAGCCGCACGATGTAAACGGAGGTGGCGGTGGGGGTGGCGGGGGGGCGGGCGGCGCCTTTGGCGGCGGCGCTCTCGGTGGCGGTGCAGTAGGCGAGGGCGGCGGCGGCGCCTCTGGCGGCACTGGCGGGGAGGGTGGTGGAGAGCAGAATGCCTCTGGCCCGCTGGCCCGATTGGGTGGCGCGGTGCAAACGATCCGATCACGCGCCGCGCTCACGACAGCGCACGGCTGATCGCCCAAGGAGACCGAGTTGTCTGCCGCGGTTGGTCCGAACCCGCTGCCGAGAATTGTGATGGCCGTCCCCGCCCCGCCCTCTTGCGGACGGACGATGTCGATGACCGGTGTCCGCGCTGCGGTGTACTCTATAACGCAGCTGCCGGGGACAGCACAAGCGGCGCCCTCACTCCACGGCTCGCAGCCAGTGCACCTCGGCCGCCGCCGCCACTCCACGTGTATAAAGAGGACCCGGTCCTCCCTCTGCCCGCGCTGGTACTCCTCCTCCGTCGCGTAAAGCGGCGGCGCGCGGCACACGATGGAGCGATAGCTTGCCGGCCTCCAACTTGGTGGCCGCCGCTCAATGGCCTCTGCGCCGCCGAAAGCGGGGCTTCCGCAGGTCAGGTTGAGAGCGCGCGTGCTGGCCGTGTTCGCCCAGCTGTTCCGCGCCGGCCCGAGTGGGCGATCCAGGTCGGCGAGCGCCTCTCTGCTCAGTAGGCTGACTCGCAGGGCGCTGAGGTGGCTGAAGCCGGAGCCGTGAATCGTCAGGTCGACGCCGCCGGCGAGGGAGACCACCTTTGGCTCAACGGCGACCACCGCGGGGACGTAGCGGAATCGGACCGCCCCTGCGGTGCGAGACGGCACGACCAAGCGCCCTCCGTCGTCACTCATCTGGAAAATTGGTACGTCGGCGTCCGTCTCCTGTGGCGGGGCGGCGAGGGCGGCGCCCACCCGCGGCACATGCACCGTCACGAGCTCGCCGTTCGGGCACCAGGAGTAGTCGCAGACGTGCTCCGACGGTGCCCCAGCCGGCACCACGACGAGGACCGCGTCGGCGTGCGCGGCGACGATTTCGCACAGCGCGCCGCCAACCCGCACTTCGGGAAGCGGATCGTCGCACACCGTGCCGTTGGAGCCGCCCGCGCCGCACAAGCCCGTCCCGTGGATGGTTGCGACGACGCCCGCGTACCCCTGGATCGGCGATACGGCTGTGAACGTGGGTGCCTCCACGTACTCATAGTCGACTCCTGCTCCCACCAGAGCGGCGCCAGAGCTGTTCGTCAGAGCGACGATTGGCACGGCGCCAACCTCGCCGGCCACAGACGTGGTGCAGCAGAGCGAGGTCCCGTCGCTGGTGGCTGTCACGTTGGTACACGGCGCCTGGCCAAGCAGGACCCGCGCCACCTCGTCCAGCCGCACGCCGAGCACGCACAACTCCTGGCCGCCTGCCGCTGAGCCGGTGGCCATCCAGGGCTGGTCAAAGCCGCTCACGCTGGGGGTCGCCTCGAGGGGAAGGAAGCTGAGGGCTTGCGTGCTGTCGTCCGGGAGGGAAGCGTTTGCTCGCAGGGCGCCGTGGTCGTCCAGTATGCTCACCACGAGCGTCGCCGCCGCGCCAGCCGCACTTGCGTTCGTCGCCTGCGTGCGGCAGCGAAGCCGGTTTGGCGAGGCGTCGAGCACGAGGCAGCCCATTTGGCCGATCGAGACGATGTTGCGTCCGAGCGCGGCTGCGTCAAATCCGGTGCCTAGCACGTCGAGCTCGGCACCCCCCGTCACGGCGAGGGCGTCGATGTCGCCTGCCAGGCGGCGGAGGCAGGCAAGAGGGCACCCAACGGCCAGCTGCACGACATCCTCGGCGACGCCGCGATGGTTAACCCTCGGTCTAAGCATGCTACAAGACACAAATTCCTACTCAAACGACTGGTCAAGACCCTCCGCTCGGCGACCGTGGGGCATGATGATCGAGATGAAGCCGACTGCACACCTCAGTTCTCAGTTACAGTAATCCCAAACAACCTGACGTGGCGGCGGCAAACATCGGCAAGGGGCACAGGCGCCTTGTTGCCGATTTGAAGCTCACGAGCTCGCTTGCGAGCAAGGGCAAGGACGCGGCCGGCGACGGAGAGCTCGGCTGGAAGGGGGCGTATGCTCGCTTCGGCAACACGGAGCCCGGGCTGCTCAATCTGGTCAAAGGGCGCGGCAAGTACTCGCCGTCGGGAGCGACGGCAGCGGCGGTGGCGGAGGAGGAGGACGAGGAGGAGGAGGCGGAGGCGGAGGCGGAGGAGGTAGGGGAGGGGGAGGATGCGGATGCCCCCAAGGAAGGGGCCGCGCAAGCAGCTGGATGGCGATTACCGCTTTGCGCGGGAGCAAGATTGCGATCTGCGTTTGTTCGACTTCGAGAGCTTCAGAGGCTTTGGAAAGGAGGTCCGCAGCACCCTGAGGCGCTGCGAGGGAGGCGGCGAACCAGCTGAGTGAGCAACAAACTTTCGCATGCCCAGCACCTGGACGAGGTCACATGGACAACCAAGAATTGGCACGGCCTGCAAATGCAGCGTTTGTCAGTCGTCCTCCACATCGCTGTGGCGTGGCAGACGGTGAACGAGCTAGCGTGCGGGGAGAGCGGCATTGTGCATGGTGGTGCGGTGTGCATTGCCGTTCTTAACGGAGTTGCTTAGGCGGCTCCGGTGGTGAGCCGGTGTGTGTGCCAGTCCGCGCCAGTCCGCGCCCTTGTCGTGCCAGTGTGCTAGGTAGGTAGGTAGAAAGGTGAAGAACAGCCAGGCTCGGACTGGACACCAACGCGGTATGGGTGGACGCTGGACAGATGATGACGACACGCACGAGCGACACACAGACACAAACAAGCTCACAAGACACACAGCCAGCGGGCTGCCACACACCCTGAGTCGGCGTACACATAACTCAGGGCCACATCCTCCCTGTCGCCCCCCCCAGCACTCCACGGTGCCAAGGGCACAAACAAGGGCACAACTCAAACAACAGACGACAGGAAGTGACATGCGAGGCTAGAGCAGGCTTGCTCTACCTCCAGCAATCTCTCCGGCCGGCGAGGCACGGACGAGACCGTGTGTGGGGTCTAAGTGAGGTGTCTATGGACGCTCTCTGTCGCAGGAGGTGAGGCACGAATACCCTCACGAGCACCAACAGCCTGACCTGTATCGAGAGGCTTCACCTATTATTCTCCCTTCCCCGCCCCAGAGTGACAACTAGTCCATCGTATTCACATATCTCTATATTCCCATACCCCGTGTGGTGGCACGTCTTGCCACTTAGATCACCAGTATTAGCACTTTGGGCGCCGGATAGGCGCCCAAATATTGGCACGTAATAGTCTCCCGACTGCTTTCGTGGGGGGTGGCCCCGCGAGACAGTCGACCTCTCTACTGTTGTGACACCACAACACGGCGCAGCTGGCGTCTTCCCCCCCACCGGTGTGACACCACACCTTCGTACTTTGAACACTCTCTACAAACATGTCTTCCTCGGCTGAGGAGGCCCGTGACACCGCGGGCGATCTATCTCCCGCGACCAAGCCGCAGGACCGCGTACGACTCAACATACACGTGCTGGGCACCGATGATTCGGGTCCAGATGACCATCTCTCGAGCGAGAGACGAGGGACGCCTCACGAGACTCCAGAGGGCCTAGACCGGGGCGATACCACCCGGTCAGACCACACTGATCACCTCCACACCACGTTGGAGCGTACAGGGCCCAAGGACGACACCGATGCGCTGGACAAGCCATCGTCGCCTGGCTCCGCCGAGGTCAGGGCTACGCCAGCTGGAATGCCTTCTGCCGTACTTTGAACACTCTCTACAAACATGTCTTCCTCGGCTGAGGAGGCCCGTGACACCGCGGGCGATCTATCTCCCGCGACCAAGCCGCAGGACCGCGTACGACTCAACATACACGTGCTGGGCACCGATGATTCGGGTCCAGATGACCATCTCTCGAGCGAGAGACGAGGGACGCCTCACGAGACTCCAGAGGGCCTAGACCGGGGCGATACCACCCGGTCAGACCACACTGATCACCTCCACACTCTCCTCACGGGCTAGCTGCCTGCGGCTAGCCCTAATCTCGCACTCACGGGCAGTGACAATTCAATGGGTGAGTGTTTGCGAGCAGAGGCGCGTGGGCTAAATCTAGGCCGCACGTCGTGGCACTATGACGAAGGTAGACGTGCGGCCGCAGCGCGCCCGCCGCAGGCTCGGCGGTGCGCGCGTGTTAGCGAGAAAGTTGCGGGTGGAGCCATGCCCGACTTTTCGAAGGTGAGGCCTCTGCGACGAGTGCCAGCCGCGCTGCGGAGCCACACCCTTCGAGCCGCGTCCCGTCGGCACTGTCCCCGAGTAGCCCCGCCTTGGCGGCACACACTCTCGACCAGGACAGTCCGGCCTCCGGGCACGTGTCGCGCGCCGGCGACGATTGCGGCGTGGTCGTTTTGAAGCGAAGATGGCACGACCTCCACCCTGCTTCGCAGACCGGGCAAGGAGGGGGCTCCTCCCGTTAGTGTGCTGTGACGTATTTTCTTCTCAATAACGTCGCTGTGAATAAAACCCCAAAGAGGCAGCCAAACCAGAGAGGTGTTTGGCGAGCGACTTGTTGTGCGGCCCGACGATGCGGCTCGGCGAGGCGCGGGAGATCCTTGGGCTGACCGCCGACTCGACCTCGGAGGATGCGCGGAAAGCGTACCGCAGACTCGCTCTGACCGCGCACCCCGACAAGTCCACGGCGCCGGACGCCACGGAGCAATTTCAACGCATCCAGGCAGATTGGGCGGGGCGGCGGGGAGGGAGGAGGGGGCGGGGGCGGCGGGGGGCGGTGTGGGCGGGACGCGCGTGGGCCCAGCGGGCGCCTTCGCCACTGTGGGCTCCTCGGGACCGGAGCGCCGCGCGGCACTCACCCGGCGCGTGCCGCACGCCCTCCCCGCAGGACGCCTTTACGCGCATCCAGGCGAGCGAGGAGTCGGGGCGCGGCGGCGGGAGCGAGGACGAGTACGACGACGACGACGACTACGACGAGTACTATGACGACGACTACGAGGTGCGCCGGGGACGGCGCGAGGCGCGCGCGCACCGGCCCCGCTCATCCGCCCGCTGCCCCCGCCGCAGGCGTTTGAGGAGGCGGCATTCATGTTCATGTTCGCCTTCGGCGGCAACCCGCCGGCTGGGTTCGGCGGCGCGCCCTTCTCCGCGCCCCCCGCGGGCGGCGGCCCCAAGGGCGGCTTCGCCACCGCCGGAGGATTCGCGTGTCCTGCGGAGACTCCGTGCGCGAACCGCCGCGAGGGAAGGCGCCGAGGCGGGCATGTGTCCACGACGCTGCACGGCGTGGCCGCTTAGGTGTGACTGCCGCGACTGCCGCGCGGAGCGGGCCGCCTTTGCGCGGCAGGAGGAGGCGCAGCAGGCGGCCCGGCGGGAGGCTGCGCGCCGCGAGGCTGCTCGCAAGCGCGTCTGGGCAGAGGCGCGCAAAGAGGCAGCGGCGGAGGGTGCGCGGAACCGTCGCGGAACCGTCGCGGAACCGTCCCCCCCCTAGGAGCGCCAGAAGGCGGAGGCGGAGCTCCACTCTGCGCGGGAGCGAGCCAGAGAGGCGCGGTTGCCCCGCCTCTCCCGCCCGACTGCGCGCAGAGTGGAGCTCCGCCTCCGCCTTTTGGCGCTCCGAGGGGGGGGACGTTTCCGCGA